GTGCTGGCGTGGGGCCTGGGACATCTCCCCAGGTCTGCGCATGGCCTCGTTGAGAGCACTGGGAGCGACTCAGCATGAGCACTTGTCACGTTTGAATGGTGAGTACCCTGGCCACCTGGTAGAGAAGGCAGGAGCCGGGCCTTTTTAGGAATGAGTTTTAGTGTTTGTTAAGGAGAGAAGGAACAGCACTCAAGACCACAAGGCCTCAACTCCTCCTTTCACTCTTCTCTCTCTACCCTTCGTATCCCTGTCCCCAGACTTCCCACTCCCAGGACTGACCTAGTGAGTTTCCAATCCATAAAATTCAAGTTAGTCAACATTTTATTTTTTTGGCTGCTGGCCAGTATGGGGATCCAAACCCTTAACCTTGGTGTTACCAGCACCATGCTCTAACCAAGTGAGCTAACCGACCAGCCCTGTTCAACATTTTACAGAGACATTTCCTACTTTGGGATTAGATGGGCTTGGATTTGATTCCCAACAGCTGAACTACTAACTATTCGTCTTGAGCATGTCACTTGGTCTCCCAGAGTCTCAATTTCCACATCTGAGGAATGGGTTTAACTTCACCTACCTCACAGGGCTGGGTAGCATGGACTATGTGTAGATATCAAGGACTGAGCCCAGAGCCTGGCACACAGTAGGCACTGAATGAGTGTCAGCTTCCCCGCCTGTTGAGAGCTGGGGAGTACAGACAATTTCGGAGGGCCCCTCCAGGGGCCTCCATGCTGGCGAGGTCCTGCACAGAGCTTGGGAGGCCTCAGGTGTGCAAAGGGCCCTGCTCAGTGGGGGCCAACTGAGCAGGGTGCTGGGAGGAAGAGCAGTGCCATGCTTGTGTTGCCTGAGCCCTGAGCATGACTTACCTCCACCTGGTGGCCTTTCCAAGAAGCAGGGCAGTCACCTTATTCAGAAGGGCTGAGCTGCCACCATGTGTAGCTTTGGTGAAGAAGAGGGGCCTCAATATAAGATGCAGTTTGCCAGGCTGACCACTGTCCAAGCATGGAATAGAGGAGGTAAAAACAGCTGGAGTCCCTGGGTGAGAAGAAAGGCACCTCCCTTCCTAGGCACCGACTGCCAGGTGAGGTCAGCAGGTGATTGTGGGGGCAGAGCCCACTGTCCTGGACGGATTGTGTAATCTGTGTCCACGTACTGCACTGGTTTCCTGCCTTTCTAGGAGCCCAGCACATAGTAGGTGCTCAGTAAATGTTTGCTAAATGACCCAACTTATTTCAGTATCTTACTCCTCGGCTGGGGTGTGGAGGCACTGGAATAGTATTCAACTCCCAGAGTGTTGACTAGGCACCCACTACGGCTCCAACAGGCTGGAGTGGTTGTCATGGAAAAGCCCAGGTGGGAGAGCTGCGGCTCTGAGAAGCTGCCCGGTGATCATGGCCACGTCTCTCAGAGACTGAGTGCACACAAAGCAAAGAGGACGGTTCAGGTAGAAAAACTGTGTTTGTCACATCAGGGAGAGAGGTTCTCTATTAAAGCTTTCAAGTTTGGTCTCTTTTGCCATCGCTCTCTGGGAGCTTTTTGGCTCCTATTTCAGTTCTTCTTTATCTGTGTGTCCCAAACCCACGGCTGGCAGGCGGAAAGCTGCCAGAGACCTCCACTTGGGCCTCACAGCCTGTGTGTCTGCACCTCAGAGGTGGGCGAGGAGTTGAGAAAGATGTCCCCTCTGGGCACAGAGTTGGGGAGCCGTGGTCGCCACCGCTGGCCAATGAGACCTGTGCTGGGGTGAGGGGTGCAGAGACTGGGGTGCGCAGGGTGCTTGTGCTGCTGGAGAGACTGGGTGGAGAGCCGAAAGCAGGAGGAGAGAGGTCAGCACAACACTGCAGCCGCAAGACTCTGGCTCAGGTAAGAGAAGAACTGGGAAAATATAAAGGCTAATTCTGGGTAGCAATGAGGCCACCTCCCTGCAGGCCATCCTCAGTTGCTACCTCAATGTATTGGGGGGTTGATAGGCCACCAAACCTCGTGGCAGATTCTTTCCCTTTCCTCAGCATGTTTCTGTGGAGCAGAGTGCTGGGAGATGCCAGGAATGTGCGACAGAAAGGCTCCTCCCAGGTCCCGCCGCTGCAGCCCCTTCACTCCTGCGGCCCACCTGACTGCCTGGGAGCCAGCTCAGTTTTCCACTCCCACCTCCACAGAGGTTCTCTGGCTGCCCCAGGGCATGATGCCCCACTAACCTGCAGACCTTGGCATCCTCTTTCAGGCCTGGCCAAATGGCAAAGCTTTGGTTTCCAGAAGCTTGTTTCCTTGCTCTTTTCCTTGGGAGCACAGGGTGAAGTGTGGCTGCTGGGGAGTTTGTTGACTGGCCAGCTACTGAGGATCCATTGCTGCTCAAGGCCAAAGCCCACAGTGGGTTGTGCTTGTTTCTGGCTCTGCTCCTCCACTTCTGGCTTCTCCCTCAGACAGCACAGGAGGCTCCTGCGCTCCCTGGGCTTGGCTTCCATCCTTCTTCGGGCCTTGTCGTGTGGCTTTGCCCTACCTGGGCAAGTCCTTGTCCCCTCATTCCCTTTTCTCTACACCTCTACCTTGAACCAGGTGGCATGGCCACCATGTGTCAGTCAAGCTACCACCAGCTTCAGCCATGTGCAAACTTGAAGAAATGTGCTTTGTTGTCCAGGGAGCTCTTCCTGGGACCACCAGGCCCTGAAGACCTGAGTTAGATTTGGGTTTTATAGTGGGATCCCTAAGTCCCCCAGTGTGGGGCTGATGTGAAGATCCAGGACAGTCTCCACCCCTGGACTTAAGATTCAGGAGATAGTTTTACTGGGAGGGCTGAATAGGGACTGGGGGGCAGCTGGTGGATTTGGGATGCTGGCTACCTCACACTCAAGGGCTCAGGCATGGGGCGGGAGGTACACAGCTCTTGAGAGCGAGGGAAGGATGAGAGCCCTGCGTCTGCATCTGCCCCTGCCCGGATCTTCCCTGGGGACACTGGGCATGGCCTGACCATGGTGGTGGTGAGTCCTGGAATGTGAGGGGAGATGTGTGGTTGCATTAGTGGTACACGGGTGGCAATGGCCAGAAAACATCCAAAGGAATTGCAGAAAGAGCTCAAAAGGGGTTGAGAACTCTTTTTGGTCTGTGTTTTGAGAGGATTGAAAAAAAAAAAACCTTAAGAAGTGGGATGGTTAATTTTGTGTCAACTTGACTGGGCTAAGGGATACCCAGATAACTGGTAACATGTTATTTGTGGGTGTCTGTGAGGGTGTTTCCAGCGGAGATTAGCATTTGAATCAGTAGACTGAGCCAAGATCTGCTGTCAGCAGTGTGGGTGGGCATCATCCAATCCACTGCGGGCCTGAATAGAACAGAAAGGTGGAGGAACGGCAAATTCTCTCTCTTTGGAGCTGGGATGCTCATATTCTCTTGTCCTTGGGCACTGGCACTCCTGATCCTCAGGTCTTCAGACTGTGGGAGTTATACCAGCACCCCCCAGCTTCTCAGGCTTTTGGACTCAGACTGAACTACACCTCTGGCTTTCCCAGTTTTCCAGCTTACAGACTGCATATCATGGGACTTCTTGGCCTCCACAATTCTGTGAGCCAATTGCCATAATAAATCCCCTCTTATCTATCTATCTATATATCCTACTGGTTCTGTTTCTCTGGAGAACCCTAATAAAGAAGCAAAACCCCTCCCAGTATCCTCCCTTTGGTAGCTGTTGCTGGGGGCTCATTCTGGAGGATGCTTGTCTCTAATTTCTGGGGATGACTGATGGCTTGAGAAAGGCTGGTCTGCATAGCATGTGCCCAGAGGAGGGGAATTGTGCTCCTGGCAGGGCTCACCAGTTCACACTGACCTACCCACCAAGTGCAGAGGCTCCCCCAGTCCCCAACTTGAGTTGGACTTCGGCAGACAAGGCTGCTGATGGCAGCATTAACCATGCTGGAGGCTCAGCTGTTACTGACATACGTAATGGCAATGAGTAATCCCTGAGTTTCAGGACCTTTTTTGAATTGTAGAATGTGTCAGGACCTGCCTACCTCGTCACCAAGCCCTGAATCTCCAGAGACCTCACTTGCCTGCCTCCATCCTTACAGTCCTAATGTGCCACAGATGTCTGTCAAACTCATCTCTCATCAGGCAGACTGGGCCTGGGGTGACCAGGAGGAAACCTAGAGGCGACTCGGAGCCGGTGGTTGGAATTCATTTTAAGATTCTTCCATGTTCCTTGGGATTTTCAATATTTGTTGACCCAAAAAATACAGACCATTTTCTATGCAAGTCCTAGAGCTGGTAGCAAGCAGTCTCATGATCAGGCAAGGCCTCACAGGCCTCACCGTGCTGCAGGTCTTAGTAGCTCCATCCCAGGCGCTGGCTTTCCAGTCGAGTGGGACCTTTTGCAACTTGGTCATACCCCAGACTTCTCTTTTATAAAGAGAGACTCTGAGAGGGAGGCAGCCTGGTGTAGCAGAAAGGAGACTGCACAGAGAGCCAGGCTTCCTGACAACCACCTGCCCCCCCTGGGCCTCAGCTTTCCTCACTGGGAAAGTGAGGAGTGGGTGGCCACTGTCTGAGGCCCCTTGCGGCTGCATGGCCTGCACTTCCATGAGAAAGGCCTTGCTTCCGGGTGACATGTGGGCACAGCACACACCCCAAGGTCATTGCCACAGGGTCAGAACCCAGGCCCCTTCAGCAGTTTATTGTTGGGCCTCTGTGCCCACTAGGAATGGGTCCAAGGATAAACTGCTTTCTACGGTGTCCCATCTGAGGGCAGTGACATTGCTTGTGAGGGGATTGGGGTGGGGCCAACACTCCAGCAAAGCATCTGAGCCCAGTTCTCAAAGAACTGGTATTCAAAAGCGTGCCCCAGGCAGCCTGTGCTTTCCCAGGCTCATGTGCACAGAGCGGGCAGGTGCCTGGAGGAGCAGCTTAATCATTCAGGGAGACCAGCCATAGTTTTGACTCTCAAGGACTCGTGGGAGAGAAGGCGGGGTTGCAATTAATATTTACATTACTAAAGAGGATTTTCCTAAAGTACCCACAAATAGAAGTATATATATTTTATATTTATATTTATATATATATAGTACTTAATTAGATGTTCTATCAAGGGAAAGCACAAACCTACAGTTTCCTCCCCTAGCAGTTCTGTTCCATCCCATCACAGAATCTTTAGAGCCCGACAACAAAGCACCCATGTCCTGTGCCCATGGCCGGAGGAGTTGGCAGACTGTGGTGGCCCTGCGGACATCGACACAGGAGTATCAACCCCCACAGATGGCGCGGTTGCACACCCTTCCTTCCGTGACCTGGCTTCCTGTCTTGGATTACAAAGGTCCAAGCTTCCCAGCACCTCCAAGGGGAGAGCATCGGCCACACTCCTCTTCTAAAACATCAGGCAGAGGGCACCTGCAACCCTGCTGCCCAAATGCTGGGCATGGGACAATCTGGCTCAGGCCGCATCCTGCTAGAGCTGGCCCAGGAGAGAGCACTCTTGGTGTCGTGGGAAATAAAGAGGCAGAGGGAGGGAGAAAGGCTTGCTGAAGCAATGTTTTCGCTCTGGGGCGGCGGATCTGAGGGGTGCCTGGGCTCGGTGTCAGCTTTCCACGGGCTGGTGGGCTTTCTGGAAGGGCACACATTATGGATTCCCCAGTACAACGTGGAGCCGCCTTTCAGCTTCTACCACGGAGGGAAAGAACTCTCCCTCCCCCTTGGTATACCCGGACATCCCCGAGGAGGGCAGCACCGCAGCATTATTTGTAGGGCCGCAGGAATCGGGACACTTTGGAGCGCAGCAGTTTGATGAAGGACCGTGGGAACATCTCCTTGGACTCCTGGGCTGTGTACTTGAAGTAGTTCTGGGGATGTGCCAACACATCGAAGAGGGCCTTGATCAGCTTCTTGTCCTGTAAGACACAGTGAGGCCGGGTAGGTGGGGTTGAGGCTGGGGTCCTGAAGGGGCTGTGGGGTGTTTGCAAGGCCAGGGGCATGGGAAGAGGCTGGGTTGGCTGGTAAGTTTCGGGACTCCCACAGACCCTATTTGGTTTTAATAGTGTAATTGGGTTTAACACAGTCTTTTGGTTTTAACTCCTGGGGTTCCACCATTATTTTAATAAAAAAGGGTTCTGCTGCAAAAATACCAAAACACAACACTTTGAAAACCAGAAAACACTGAGCATAGAGCACAGGCTTTGGAGGCCAACAGATCTGGGTTTGGAATCGCAGCTCCACCACCTGCTCACCAGCTCTTTACCCTCGGGAAAACCACTCTGCGGCTCGGAACTCCATTGTTCCATCTGTACAGTGGGTAACGCTCCCCGTCTCAGGGCTGTGATGAAGGTTGTATGCCTTGCTGTGAGCAGAGTCTGATCCACGGTGGTGCTCAGTACAGGTCTGCTTGAGGATCTAAGCAGCAAATAGGGGCTGTGCTCACAGCGCCAGCGGCCACAGGAGCAGACACAGCCCATGTGTGGCTGGTGTCACTTACAGGCTGGGCCCCCGCTCTGAGTCCCAGTGTCCTCATCTCTAAAGTGGGCAGTGCCACTCTGGAGGAGAAACTAAGTAGATGTGAGCCCTGGCTGTGGTCTCCCTGAGGACAGGCCCAGCAACTGTGACTCTGGCAGAGTCCCAGAGCCTGGCCCAGGGAAGTTCCTCAGCAAATGGCTACCACTACCTCCTGGGGCTTGAAGCTCGTGGTCTTGGTGACCCTGCATTTGCTGCCTTTGTGTCTGACCTGTCCTGGCACACACTCATGTGTCTCTGTCTCTCTCTCACACACACCCCACACAAACACATTCCAGACACACACCCTACGCACCACACACCCACATACTCACCACATACACACCACACCATACACTCACTACACACTCACCACACACACATACCACACACCACACACACACACCACACACACACATACCACACACTACCCACACACACACCACACACCACATGCACACACACCACCACATAATCACTACACACACCACACACACACATACACACACACCACACACACACCACACACCGACCACACCACATTCTCACCACCCCCCCCACTCTCACCACACACCTCACACACACACACACACACACCACATGCACACACACCACACACACACATACCACACACTACCCCCACACACCACACACCACATGCACACACACCACCACATAATCACTACACACACCAAACACACACACACACACACACACACCACACACACACCACACCACACTCTCACCACCCCCACTCTCACCACACACCTCACACACACACACCACCCACCACATGCACACACACCACGACACACTCACTACACACACACACACTCACACCACACTCGCCACACACACCACGCACACACCACACACCAACCACACCACACTCTCACCACCACCCCCACTCTCACCACACACCTCACACACACACACACACACCACCCACCACATGCACACACACCACGACACACTACACACACCACACACACACGCACACACACTCACACCACACACACCACACACTGACCATACCACGCTCTCACCACCGCCCCACACCACACCCTCTCACCACACACCACACACACCACACAGTCACCACAGACACCAGCCACACACACCACACACACTCATCACGCCATTGAGAAGCAGACAGTAGTGGCGTTCCTTCCCGTGCTAGGCACAGTGCTACATGCTAGAGACATAATGTTGAGCCTGAACCCCAGCAGCTCCTCCCCCATGAGGGGTCTGGGACCAAATAATCCTAGAAAAAACCTAAAGTGCAGTGCTGACGGGTGCCAAGAAGGAGGGACATGTGAGACTCTAAGAGTCTGTGATAGGTGTGGCCTGGGTAAGGGAGGTCCAGGCAGGCTGCCCAGAAACCAGGACGTGTAAGCTGAGAATAGAAGGATGGGACATTCTCTAAGGAAAGGGCTGGGGGAAGAATGTTCCTGAGAGTCCCTTGGTGAGTGAGAGTGTAGTGAGGGTGGAGACAGAGCTGCTGCAGATGCAGACGGTGGCCCTGCTGGCCAGGGTTTGTGTCCTAAGAGGAGCAACGGGAACACTTCCAGTTCTAGGGAGATGCTCCCAGCTGCAGGGTGGAGCTGAGGGTGCAGGGGCCGGGGTGGCAGGGGAGGGTGAGAAGGAGAGAGTCAGGCACCATCTACAAGACGGACTGATGCAGAGGCCAGGGCGACTCTCTGCTTTCTGCCCAAACAGACAGGTGGCCTGAGGAGGAAATGTGTGCGGCAGCACCACCAGACACAGGCCTGGAACACATGAGGCGAGTCTTCCCTGGACTCAGCAAATCGTCCATTTTCTCAGATGTGGAGACAGCTGGAGGAGGGGCAGCCAGGCAAACGTGGCCCTGGCCCTGTTGTCCTCCACAGCACCCTGGGCTTCCATGCTGAGGGCACTGCTGCCCAGAGGCTGAACTGGGGCCGACCCCCAGCCCAAGCAGACCCCTGCATCTGGCCTCACATGGTGAGAACCAGATCCCTGGGCCTCTGGCCAGTACCTACTGTGTGACAGTCACAGCCTCCTCTCTATGACAAGGTGGCTCTGCTTATCCAGGCCATAAGCAGGAAGAGGAGGGAGACTAGTCTTAACAGTGCAAGTGGCTCCCAAGGGACAACAGCAGTGGGTAGCAGTGGGTAGCTTCCACTCATTTGGGACACCACCATGCTAAACTACCCTCATTTCACAGATGAGGAAAGTCAGGCTGACAGTGGTAAGAAACTTGCCAAGGGCCATGTCACCAGATTCTGGTCACCATGCTCCCACCAGACAGCTTGTCTCAGGCTTCCTGGACTGGAGGGACAGATGTGCAGGGCCCAGTTCCTGCCCCCAGGGCCTCTTTGACCCCAGCTCCTTCTCCTCTCCTGTCACCACCCTCCCTCCCTCATCTCTCCAGGTGACCAAGGTTCAAGGATGGCAGCAGCGATGGCCCTGGCTCACCCCAGGGTTATGTGGATTCCCTTTAAACAAACTCACTCACTTTCAAAATTTCCTGGTGATTCTCCGAGGCATACAGCCGCCCATCGCGCACGATGTCTTCTATCAGCTGCTGGTAGTCCTCTGGGCAGCCGTTCCGCAGGGGAGAGAAGGCGGCGAGGGGCTTGAGCCCGCCACTGCCCAACACCTGCAGCCTCTGCCCGCCCCACTCCGGGCTCAGGCAGGCTGTGGCTGGACACAGCTCTGCCTCTGTGCCTTGTACCTGGGCTTCCCTCCACCTGCACTGGCCTCCTCGGGGTTTGGCTACCCAGAAAACCCCAACTTAACCCTCAGAACCCTCTGCGGGCAGCTTCTCACGCTGAAGCCTGCAGACATGGCTCATCACTCCCTCACCTGTACCGCCCGGTGCCCTCAGGCCTGTCTGCATCTGGCCCCTCAGGGTATTCTGTTTCTGGTATTGTACCCCTGCTAGGCTGCAGCTTCCTGAGGGCAGGGATGGGTGACGCATCTCTGCGGCTCCCGGGCCCAGCCTGGGCTGGCGCACAGGGGGCTATCATGAGACAGTTGCGCCTTACCATCGTAGGTGACATAGGGCACTTGGAACCCTTTGCCGCTGTTGCCTTCATTGGACTTGAACTGGATCCAGAGCTTCCGGGAGCGGGAGGTGAAGGCGATGGGCCGCTCGTAGGTCTGACAGGTCTCGTAGGTGGTGATAGATGTGGGTGAGGCTGCGGGGGCGCCGTGCCATTGCTGGGCTGCCTGCAGCTTCACAGCTCCTCACTGACCCCCATCCTCCTGCCTCAGGTCACTTGCCTCCCTACCCGCTCAGCCACCAGCACCTGCAACACCTGGTTCCCATACAGCCAGCTCGCTGGTCTCTGTGCTTGTTCCCTCTGCCTCAAGTGCCTTTCCCTGTCCTCAATCTCGGTTCCTACTCATCCTTCTGAGACCCAGTTCTTTTTCTTTTTTTTTTTTTTTTTGTCTTTTTCTGTGTCCGGCAACGGATCGCAACCCTCAGTGTTGCCCCCGTACCGGACCGGGACCGGCAACGGGATTGCAACCCTCGGTGTTGCTCCCGTGCCTCGCTCAGCCAGTGAGCGGGAACCGGTCTGTATGTGGGATCCGAACCCTCGGCGGGAGCGCCGCCGCGCTTCCAAAGCGGCACACTATAGCAGTGCACCACCGGGCCGGCCCCATGAGACCCAGTTCTGTGCCCCCTCCTCTAAGAAGCTTCCCTGGCTGCCCCCTCCCCACCTACCATGGTTCTGCTCTGCTCTGGTGAAGTCCCCTCTATTGGTTTCTCTCTGCCTCCCTCCAGCCAAATGTTCCTCCATGACAGGGCGTATGCCTGCACCCAGCACCAAGCCGGGGCTGGGTAGAAGCTGAGGGAAGATGTGGGAGATGAGCCAGCATGGATTGCTGAGGCCGGAGGCTTGGACTTGGGCAGTCCCCTTTCCCTGTGAGCTGATGAACAAGGCTGCTGACCCCTGGGGTGCCTGCCTCCTCACTGTTCCCTGGGGATCCCTCCTGAGGTGCCTTTGAGGTAGAAGGTCTGCTCCCCAAGAGCTCAGCCCGGCAGGTGGAAGGTGGAAGGGAGGCTGCTGCGGGCCAGTGAGGCCGGTGACGGGAATGGGTGGGGCAGGTGGTCCTGGGCTGGGCTCTGACTGGCTGTGGGACCCTGGGTTCTGGCTCTTTCTGGCCTCAGCCCCTCCACTGCACATTGGGGCTTTCTGGCTCATGAGCTATACTGAGCAGGTGATACATGCACGTGCTTGCACACATGTACAGCACTACAGAGAGTGAATGACAGGCTTCCCTCCTTCCTTCATCTCCTGCTCCTCTGGCCAGTCTCCATGTATCCAGAGACGTTTTCGGCCCAGACAAGAGGGCGTGTTTTTGCCTGTCTGGGTCCCTGGCCTTGTTCCTCTACCATTCTGACTTGGAGCTTGCTTCCTGAGGGCACCCACAGCCCAGCAACGGCAGTGAGGGACCCAGGCCAGATATACCGTAAGGACTGAACCAGGTCCCTGTAGGGGGCTCAGGTGCTTCCCAGGCTTTCTCGCTGGTTGCTGTGGCCATCTGAGCACACACTTGTCCACACCCACTGCTGAGAGGCCAGCCCTCTGCTCATCCCGTTCCCTCCTTCACTCACCTGAAGTCTCAAAACAAGCCCCTGATGGGGGCTGATGAGCCAGGAGTCTAGGGCTCAGGGAGGGGAAGGGATGGGCTGTCTGAGGCAGGCGTCCTGTGTGCGTGCATGGGTGGGCCTTTGGCTCCCCCACGCCTCAGAGGGAGGCGAGGAGAACTGTGGAGTGGGAGGCGTGACAGGCAACGGTGGGAAGGGGCACTGTAGCTCGTCAGACAACTGGGATGAGAGACTGGCTTGTGGCCAGAATTGAGACCAGACAGGTCCTGATTCCCATATTTAGGGCACACCCTAAGCTTTCCAGACCTTTCCACAGAGCTCTGCAAAGTCCAGTTCTTACAGTCAGACCCAGTGGGTTTCAAACCTGCCTCGCTGGTGAACTCTGAGTGACCAGTCCCCTCTGAGCCCCAGGGCCCTCCCCCCGCCCCACTGGGGCAGCCATCCCTGTCTGGTGGAGCTGTACCAAGATGGTGGGGAATGTGGGCACATGGCTGGGACTGTCTCTGGTTCCACTGTCCCTTGCCCTGCGACCTGCACGTACCGCTCTTCCTCATGACCAGGACATCGCCGCACTCATCCTCGATAGGCAGGAAGATCTCAGGGACCACGATGAGGATCCTGCGCTTGGGGGGTGGTGCAATGTGCCACACGCACTCAGCATTGGCTGGGTAGTCGCCGGGGTAGTTGGGGGACTCGATGTAGCCTGTGTAGTCGCCAAGCTCTCCACCACAGTGCTGGTCTGTGGGCACCGTGGCCCGAGGGCCTGGTCAGGCTCGTCTGGGTGGGTACCCTGGCCGGCCGGGCCCTCAAACAGCCTTGGAGGCCCAGGGCAGGGCTGGCCTGTCCCCTCCTCAGTCCAGCCTCCACCCAACCCTCTTGTGCCAGCCAGCCAGACCCTAAGCCAATCTCCCTCAGGGTTCCTGCCTGGGCTGCCCCCTCAGCAGGAAGGCAAGTCCCCCATTCATGCCTGTTGGTTCTCTGAGTCCCAGCCCCAGTGGCTCCTTCTCACTGGGCTGCCTCACTTGATGCAGGCCCACCCTATTTCTCTGTGGCTGGGCCTTGTCAAGGGCACTGAGAGGGCTTGGAGCCCTCACTCTGCCCCTGCAGGCCCTCCAGTGCCCCTGCAGGCGGTCAGCTCCCCCAGCCATCCCTGCTTCTCCTTGCCAGAACTCACGCCTCAGCCAAGTCTCAGGTGTGGAAGCCCAGGTGAAGAACCAGCTTGCCATTTCTCTTCATTTACTTATCTGTCCGTTCACTTAGCCAACCTCACTGAGCCCCACCAGGTGCCAGGCATGGCCACCCTCCCCACCAGAGGCAGGAAGGCTCAGGACAAGCCAGACAAAAGGGAGCAAGCCAGCAACACCGAGGAAGAGATAAATGTCTTCCTTTCTTTTCTTTTTTAACTAAGTTGTTCAACCTAAAAGAGGCCAAACATGATGTTTTTATGAGCTAAACGTTTCCTAGCCTTAAACTTTTAAAATAAATCACCTTAGTTCTGCAAAAGGAATTGAGTGTAAATATTAAGTATACATATTTTTCCCATACATTTTCATTTAAATATCCTCTCCTCACTTCAGCATTTCTGGGGAGTAGTTCATTTCCACCTGCAGCATTCCAGAAGCTTCCTTCCCATCTGGCTTCCCCACTGCTATCCACTAGGCGATTTAAAACCCCATGTCTGTCGAGCTCCCCCACTGTGCTTGTCCTTCTGCTCTGGGATGGACAGCCCTGGGCAGAGGAGAGGAATGCCACCTCTAGGTCTCTTCCCCTTTCACTGACTTGTAAGCTGTTCCAAACACGGCCAGCAGCCCTGGCAGGGGACGACTGGCTGTACATTCACTAGGAAAAGGTGAAAAAACAGAAAAGATGCCCCAGAGAACTCTAAAAAATGAATTAAAAATACCTGAATAAAAGGTAGCATCCTCTTTGTTATGCCCAAATGACTTGCTGGGTGAAGGGCTGGGGACTGTGTCTATTTCCCAAGTCGTCTTATGTTGCCCACGTTTCTTTTGGCTAAACTGCGCCTCTCACACACATACAAGGTCTGTCTGACCTTCCTCTGGCCCTTCCACACCTTGTCCACAGCCAGCACCCTGCTTCCCCTTGCTTTAGGTCGCCTGTTTTTTGTCCACTTGGCAGCCTAGATGGCCTGTGCCTTTGGAACTGCAAGGCCTGGCACTCGGCCACTGCCCCCACAAGCCTTGCTGCTCCCTCCCTGGCATAGGGGCCTGTCTGCTTTCTCCCCACGATCCTGAAACCAGAGCAGGGCCTGGCCTGGAGCACAGGCTTAGGCTGCATCTGGGTGAGCGATAAGAACTGATGAGGGACAGGTGCTCCACAGAGCGGGCTAAGCCAGGGCTACCCCACTGGGCCATCAGGCTTAAGATGATAGGGTTCCTGGGAATGTCCCGCTGAGCGGGGGTGATGAAATGGGAGAAGTCAACAGTCCCCTTGGGGACATGGTGTGAGGTTAGGTCTCACTGTCCCCACAACTGGCCCCAGCTCCTCCCAGCATCCCCAGCTTCCTTGCCATGGGAAAGAAAAGTGCCTACTTTTGCAGTGTGTGACATTGGTGGAACCATCAAAGTCAGTGCTGGTGTTGCCCGGACAGGTGATGCAATGGTTCTGGCCAAACTCGGGCTGGTAGGTGCCAACAGGGCAGCGGATGCACCGGTGGGTGGTGGTGTTGTAGTGGTGTCCAGGGGAGCAGTGCACTGCAGGGAAGGGGACAAACATGGGTGGGAGAGGGGTGCTGGTGGGAAAGGGCAGGGGAGCATTCCCCCTGGGGCCTCCCCTACCTTGAGGTATGTCTCAGCACATAGTTCAAGGCCCTTCCCTATGGCTCCAATGACCTCCCGCCACCCAAGTTCTACCACAGCAGGGGGGTGGGGGGACAAAGTGAGGACAGCATTCTGGAAGCCAGGAAGAGCACGGTGAGGGGGCCCATGCCAGATGTGGACTGAGAGCTGATAATGGCTCTAGCAATGCAGGGACCACATAGATCACCTCGATGGGAGTAATTTTGGGGAGTCATGGGGGTGACAGTGTGTATAGGGGGTTCAGAGGAGAAAGGGAGGGGAGGAAGTAAGACAGTGAGTCCAGACACTTTCCACAAGGCTAGGGGGAAAGGGAGGAAAACATGGCTGGAGCTGGAGCGGGGCTAGATAGGGGGCATTTCTTTGTTAGAATGGGAGATTCAGCAGTTTGTGGATTAGGGGAATATCTGGAGAGGTAGCAAGCTCTGTGGAGTGAGGGCCCTGCCTCCTGGCCTTTGCTGGTGGCACAGACTGACAGACACAGTGAAGGAGCATGTGGAAGGGGAAGCAAGGCCTTCAGCTGAGTGAGGGGCAGGGGTGGCGGGGGGTTGGTGAATGAGGAGCGGAGTGGCTGGACACAGAACTGCAGGAGCACGTCCGCTGGCAGCCCTAAAGGGGGGTGTGCAGTTCAGCTGAGCCTCCTCTGACCTGGCCCCCACTGCCTGGGCTGCTCTCCCGGCCCCCTTCACCTTCCTCACCCTCCCAACATTCCTTCTAGACTCAGCCCAAGCGCCTCCTGTTCCCAGAAGCCCTCCCCAGTGCCTTGAGGAGCTCCTGGGTGCTCAGCAAACTCATGACTGTAACCGCTGTCCTTGTCTCAGTGCATGGCACAGTGCTAGTCACCCATGTCCACTGCCTGGTGGCTCCAGGCTCCTTCTCTGACCTTGGAGGTTTGTCACGTTGAGGAGATGAGGGGTGTTCATGGAAAATGTCCTAGAGCAGCCCAGCCCTGCCCTCGGGATGGGCAGGTGGGGGGCATCCTCACCTTTGGCCTCACAGTCCTGGAAGGACACAGTGCCCTCGTGCTTGGTGAGCAGCCCCCCTCCGCAGGGGAAGCAGCCGGTGCGCCCGGGCTCGGGTTGGTACGTGCCCATGGGGCAGGCCTGGCAGGGCTTGAAGCCATCAGCTGAGAAGAATCCTGGAGAGCACTGGCCTGGAAGTCAGAGGTCACAGTTCAGGGTGGGGGGACGGATGCCACAGTCCTTGAGGCTGTGAGTGGCCCCAGGCCCTGCTCTTGGCCCTTGCTTGCCCCTGGAAAAGGCACCAAGGCAACCAAGGCCCAGGGTGGGGTGGAGTGGGTAAAATGCAGCAGCCTGGGGAGTGGGAGGCTGGGTCCTCAGCCCAGACGCTGCTGGCAGTTCATTGTGTGGCCCTGGCCAAGCCTGGCTTTCCTTTTCCCACCAGCAAGGAGGGCTGGGGGCTAAAGAGAAAGTGGTCTTGCTGCTAAGGTGGGAAGTGGGGACCCCAGGTGCGGAGGGGGAGGATTATTTATTTCAGAGGGGCTCTCCCCAGCGGACAGGCCCCACTGGTGTCTTTACAGGAGGAACTGGCCTGTTAAGCTCCAGGCTGATACTGTCTTGTCTATCAGCAGGGTGGGGCCAGAGCAGAAGGGGGAGGGCCTTGGGAGGGTCTCTGAGGTACCTAAGGGTGCCTCTGGGACAAAGGAAAGAGACACAGGACAGCCAATTTCAGCTCAACGTAAAGAACAGAGCACTGCAGAGAAAGTCAGAATGAAGACGGCAGCTCCAACAACAGGTGAGGGGCGGTTTAGTGTCCTCTCAACTTCTAACCAAGCGATGATTCTCCCACTGGTGCTCACCCTGTCCGCTAACAGTCACCATTCCCCTGGGGTGGAGACCACACTCCTGGGTGGGGCAGTGGGCCAGAGAGCAGCTAGCAGCCTGCAGACTCAGGACAGGGCTCTGATCTCCTCTGTCCCCAGGAGAAGGCTGAAGGTCTCCACTCCCCTAAGGATGCTGCTTCCCCACCCTCACAGGCACACTTCTAGGGTGCTCAGCCTTTCTCCATGCATTCTCTTGGGTAAGCCCCACAACGGCCTAGGAGGGGAGGCTGATGCGAGACTACTAGCCCATTTCATAGATGGGGTTAAGTGGGGGTAGTAAATGGAAAAGGTTTTTAAGTTGAAAAAGAGCTTTCCAAATCATCTATAGGGCAAATTATAAAGTTCTTTGTGTAGAGTGAAGTTTTTGCTCAAGCATATGATACGTTTGTAAAGCATTTCGATGACGATGGAGTATTCCATAAAATGTAAAATGTTTGGTCAACCATAAAGCACTTACGTACCTCCGTTATAAACCATAAGTTGACCTGTAAATGATAAAGCGTTTACACATTATAAAGTCCTTTGACACTGCATGAAGCAACTTTAAAAGTATGCTGAGAACAGTAAAATGCTCAGTTACTATAGTGTACCCTGAGACATGTGGCCATTTTGGGATCTGTAATGCGCTTTGTAAGTGGTGACTGCACAGAAATTGTGAAAAGCTTTGGATATGGTAAAGAGCTTTCCAAAATGCTATGTTCTATGGCCACATGAGGCATTTGGGCATTTGCTTTGGGAGCCTCAGTGGAAACAACAGGAGCCCCTGCCCTGCACACCACGCCCCCCGCCCCCCGCCCCCCGCCCCCCGCCCCCCGCCCCCCGCCCCCCGCCCCCCGCCCCCCGCCCCCCGCCCCCCGCCCCCCGCCCCCCGCCCCCCGCCCCCCGCCCCCCGCCCCCCGCCCCCCGCCCCCCGCCCCCCGCCCCCCGCCCCCCGCCCCCCGCCCCCCGCCCCCCGCCCCCCGCCCCCCGCCGCTGGCATCCCGCCTGCACTTGCCTCCACATTCGGATACGTTGCGGGCACCAGCCAGACCAAGCCCGTCGCTGCTGGGGCATGGTGTGCAACTGAGCTGGCCTTCCATGTCCTGGTAGGTCCCTGGCATGCATGGCACACACTGGCCAAGCTCGCCGCTGAAGTAGGTGCCAGGCTCACAGGCCACTGCAGAGGCAAAGTGCAAAGACTGCTGGAGGTGGAGGTGGGGAGTGGTGGCTGGTGGTTGACTCCTGTGTGCTCAAGCCCAGGCTTTCTCCTCCCAGATGTGGCACAGCCCTTGTTCCCTGGGGCTCGAAGGGCCCGGAGGGGCCCCAGACCCATCCCAGAAGAGCCTGGGGCAAGACACAGGTAGCAGCAATCCGTGAGGACCCTAGAGGTCTGAGCCTGGTCTCGTGCCTCCTGTGGCTGCTCCTTCTCAGAGTTCTCTGCAGACCCCTCTCTCTGCCCTCTTATAAATGCCTGTGGCTCAGCTCCACCCAGACCTTTGTTCACTCTCTGCTCTACATCCTGTCATCCAGCCTGGACTTCTTGGCCCATTTACCAGACTGCCTCCTAGATGTCTCCACCTGAATATCCCACAGCCATGTCACTCAAAACCAAGTTCCCTTCCCTCCCCTTTTCTTCCCAGTATGGAGGAGTTGGCACCTGTGGACATGGGGCAGTGCAGAGGAACTGGCGGCTACAAAGAGACAGGGACAAGAGAGCCTGGCAGCTGAGGATAGGAAGACGTAAGGGGAAATAGTGCAGAGGTGGTGGCTGAAGAGAGAGCAAATAAGTAAACTGATGAGCAAATAAGGATATTAAGGAGAAAGGGGGCCACATTTCTCACTGCTGGAGGAGATATTTACAGCCATGGAGAGGGAAAAGCTCAGAAAGAACCTTGAAGTGCTGAATTGGAGGTAATGGTGTGAACTCATGGTTTCATGACACACACACCCTCCCACAGAAATGGTATAGAGGCACGTGTGTATGTACAGTATACACATACCTATACTGTCTAGTTCTGCACAGTGAGAGAGCCTAGAAGCAACGAGACTCCAGTAGCAATGAGTGCCCAAGATTTTGGTTTCAATATATTATCCTCCTCTCAAGGGAACCAGAAGTCCTTGCAGATTTGGCTGATTCCAGGGCTCAGGCAGGGAAAGTACAAGTTGAGTCTCAAACATCTTGTAGGGCCAGAAAGTAAAGGGTCAATGAGTAATGGGTCAGGACAGAAGGACACTGGAACCAGCTTGAGGGAGTGCCCACTGGCTAAATTGGGGACAATCTGAGCACTGAACTAAATAATGTTAGGAATGGATTACATCCCAAGGAGTGAAAGGAATCTCTGAGTCCACAGTGATATAGATACGTACACTCACACACACACACACACGCACACACGCACGCACACACATGCACACACCCACACACACACAGACTGATACACAGCTACATAGATATACGCATTCATGGGGAATAAGGGAAATCTCTTTCTTATAGGAAAATACTACCTAATGTAGAAGAAATGAAAGAAATAGGAACTATCCACTGGCAAACATCATAGACTTGGTAGATTTGTCAATGAACGCTATGGCTGGTGGGTGGAAGTTTGAGGAGGAGCAGGATACTGGTATATAAACTCAGAATATGTCCCAAAAAAATACTAATCAAAGGAAAAATGGTGTTTGAAGGTGGAATACCCAGTGGTGGGCTGGGTCGATACCCTGTGCCTGCTGATGGGGGCGCTGGAGTGCAGGCCCTGAGCCTGGTCATGAGGACACACCAGAGGCAGCTGCTGAGACCGTGAGGTCCTGCCAAGGGCAGGAGAGGAGGGAAAGGTGAGGAAGTGTTCTGGACAGAAGGAGTCTGAAGAGACGCAACCACCACGTATCCCATGTGTTCCGGATAGGAGCTGGGACCAGGGAGACAAAAGGGACATTGCTGGAAAAATTGTTGAACTCTAATGGGTGTGTGGATTGGATGGTAGTGTAGACTCCACACGCACTCACACACATGCACACGCATGCTTGTCCACGTGCACGCATGAGAGACAGCATGATGCGGCAAATGCTGTAAGATGTTCACAACTGAGGAATATGGATGGAGAAAATATGGAAGCTTTTTGTTCAGCCTGATAATGTTTCTGAGTTTGAAATGATTTCAAAATGAGTTATTAAAAATAAAAGAGTGATGTCGCCAAGCCCCTTCCTGTCGCCCCTTGTAGTGCAGCTCTACCTGCAGTGCAGGTAGTGCCACTGTCCAAGCCAGAGTCTCAGCTTCCCCTGCTCCTAAATACAACCACTTCCCTAAATACTACCTCTTCTCCAGTGGCTTCCCGATGCACGTCCCTGGCCAGCCCATTCTCTGAGCTGCACCCCAGATTCACAGCTCCCACTGCACGGTCAACACCTTCATGAGGATAACTCATGAGCATCTCTAACTTACCATGTGTGGTTTCAACTCTCCATCTCCCCCAGCCTGCTCTTCCTCAAGTTGCCCCAGATCACCAAATGATACTGCCTCTGCCCAAGTGGCCAGACCCTTGGAGTTGTCCTGGAAGCCCTTCTCTCTCTCACCTCCCTTTCCAGTGTCCTCTGAAAGTGTCTAATTCTCTCCACCTCTCCTGCTTCCACCTGGTGTTAGGCCCCACATCCCATGAATGGCCTCCACCTCCACGGTCTGCCCTGCCGACAGCAGAGAGCCGATGTTTCTGCCTTGCTTAAAGCATTCCAGGGGCTCCCCATGGAACACAACGCAGCGTCCGTGGCCTGCAAGGCCCGTCACCTTGGCCTCATCTTGCCTGCACGTGTATTCACTCACTCACTGTCTGTCTTCCCCACAGGAACATACGCTCCATTGCAACTAGGACTCTGGTGCCCCACCACCTGGGCCACTGGCGCTGCCTCTAAATCCATTCCCTCGCCAGAGGCCATTTCCTGGGGCTGCGGTGAAGTCACCAGCCACTTCACCTGGGCCTGGCTTGCTGTCCTGCCTCCTTGCAGCACCGCACTGCCCTCCGGGGCAGCCCTCGGCCTCACAGCATCACTGCTCTGCTATCCCTACTCTGACTCAGCCTCCCCAACTCTTTGTCAGCCCTGAGGTCTCACCTTGCCTGCCTCCTCCTCCTTTGGGAAGCCGTTTCGAACCACAGCTTGGACTGGGGAGGGGCCTGTTCTGGTCCCTGTGGCCCCTCACACCCCTCCACTGTGGCCTTGCTGTCCTGTCCTCTCTCTGTCCCCCCAGCCCTTCAGGACTAGGCTGAGGATCGCAGGCCCAGGGCCCAGCACCGGGGGGAGGGGGGTGCTCTTTAAATAACAGTGATGGCAACAAGTGCTGTGGTTCTTCCCCCGGGAGGCCTTCATGTCTGTCTCCTCCCCACGTGTCTCTCTCCCCTGTGTGCCCACTGCCATTCACCTGGGCTGCACATGCAAGGAACGACAGAGAAAGTTTGCTGAGTCAACATCTGAGTGGCCAGGGGCAGGGACTCACCACATTTGCCATCCTGTAGCACCTGGCCTGTGCCACACGCCCCCTGCCCCTCCAGGGCCTTGGCAGGCCGCTGGGCCACCTCATACTCAGTGCCCAAGACCTGGACATAGAACTGCTGTCGATTGATGGCCTTTCGTAGGGTCTTGATGGCGGCCTGCAAGCTCTGCTCTGCTCGCTTCTGTACGCAGTCCACTTCGCAGGCGTCTGCAGGGGAGGGAGACACAACGAGAATAACTCAATGCTGCTAGCCACTGCTGTCCTTGCTGAGGGCTCCACTGTGCCAGGCCCTGCACTGGGCTGGACCTCTGCTTAGATCACCTCAGTGCGTCCTCACAACAGCCCCAGGGCAAGGTGCTGCTGTCAGGCCACCTGACGGATGAGGCCACTGAGGCTCCAAGAGGCGTGACCTGCCCAAGGCCACACAGCAGATCTGAGTACACATCAGGCCTCTGCCAATCAAGCACCCTTGAGGACTGCTACTGTCCCTGGGACAGTGTCTAGCTCTCCAGCCTTGAATCCAAGGCCCCTCGAGGTCAGACCTCTGCCTGCCTTGCTAGCTTCAACCTCCAACCTCCGACACTCACTGTGAACTCTACTTTCTAGCCGCCCTGCTCTGCTCACTACTTCCTGGACACATCCTGCTCTCTCTGACTCCTGTGCTTTGCCTATTCCATTCCCTCTGCCTGGATGCCATTTCTTGACATCTCTTCTACTTGCTTACCTTTGATTTCAAGTTCAGATTCTAATGGTGCCTCTTCTGGGAAGGCCTCCTGAGACCCTCCCTTGTGGAGAGACCCCAGCTCTATGCTCTGTTCTCACGCCCCACCACCTAGAGTCTCCCCTGGCACTGGGTAGTTTGTGTGCACGTCTGCCTCCCTGTGGCTGAGAGTGTTGCCTGGGCAGGGCCATAGGCTGGTTTCTTCTTTCCATGGTGCCCAAGCCCAGGGCCATGCTCACACTGCGTGCACTGGCTGACAGATCTCAACTCCTCAGTCACAACTCAACACTCATGTACAGCCAAGAGGAAAGCATTGGCATGAAACATAACTAGCATTACATGCCCCTTCTGGAACCTGGAAAGGACAGTCCTTGGCTCAGCCATTCTGGGGACGCTGCACACATTCGCCCTTCAGTGTCCTAGCAAGGATGTAGTGGGGGAAAAGGCCATGTGGCCGTCTCTATGGTCCCCTGAGCCCTTCTCCTCTCATTGCCCCTGGGCCGCTCTTCCATCCTGGGCTACAGGTGCTGACCCTTGTCAGTTCCCTCTGCTTGCCTGGCTGGCCTCTGCCTCCAGGAGTCGTGGTTCTGGGGGACCCTGCTTCATGCCCAGCAGCCCCCCACCAGCCCCTCAGTCTTCTGTCCTCCTTCAGGTCTGCAGCAGCCCCCTCACCCACCTGAGGCCTCTTCCATCTTCATCTCAACCTCAAACTCTGCTGTGATGTGGGATACCTCCTTGGATGGGGACTTGCGGCCACGGCGCCTCTTCTTGGAGGAGTCGCACTTGAGGGTCACGAAAGTCAGGTGGGAGTTGTCTGGATAAAGAAGAGACCTCTGTGGCAGAGGTGGCATGGGCAGGAGCAGGGTCCTACCTAGCCCTACACACCCATTGGCAAGGGTCCCTCCGTGCCTAACAGTCCATGGTGCAGATGGGGAACTGAGTCTGGAGCAGGCTAGGACTAGTGTGGAGTTTCATGATGGGTTGGTGGCTGAGCCAGGTCTCACGCTCAGCTCTTGTGAGTCCATCACACCACCGTCCTAGCCTTCTTCCCAAGAGACAGTGTCTACAGTGCCCCAGGCATGTCTCCTGGGACTAAGAAACCATGGTGGTAAGCATGCAGAGAGGATCTCACCCTTGGGAACCCAGCCCCGCTGGACTGTGGCCCTATAGCTCCCAGGCATGGGGACTCTGCCACCTCCCCCTTGGTATGGGTTGGTAACAACATGGCCCACTCACCCAGCAGTGGCTGCCTCAGGGTCTCCTTTGCTCGTTCCCGGCTGTGGGGCCGGAGGTGGCACTTGGCATCTCTGATCTTGAAGCGAGCCTTCTGCTTGATGGGGGGTGTGGGGGCATCTGGGGAAAGCCAAAATCCCCCCAGGTGGTGGCCTCTCCTGTGGGCAAGGAGGTGGTGGGGGACGGGGGCTGCCGGGTGACAAATCTACCTAGAGCTGAGGGGGGGACTTGGTTGGGGCCAGTCTGCCCCGACAGCCCTCCTGGGGTGGGGGGATTCAACTGTCCCATTGCCCTCCCTGCAAAGCCTGTAAAAAGTGAATGCGTGGATGGTGGGGTCAAGTTGAAGCCCAGGGACCATCTAGTCAGGGGTCTTCTGTGGAGGAGGAAAGGAGTGCCTCCCACCTCCTTGCCCATCATCAAAGCCAGCAGATGTGCTTTGTGCTTTTAGGAAAGAGGGCAGAACAGAAGAGAGAGGGTAGCAAAGAAGGGAAGGGAGTTTGAAGTGTTACAGATGTCCACAACAGTTGATTCCTCAAAGACCAAATCATGGCCTCTTGGACTAAAGAATCCTCCGATCACAGATGCTCAGAATCACATCAGGTAGGCACTGAGTGTGCCTCTCTTACTGACTTCAGCATCCTGCATAAGAAAAGCTGCTGCAGACACAACTCCCTTCTCCTAAGCTGGCAGGAGGGTGGGCTGTGCTGTGCTGACTGGGCCCTGGCAGGTCAGTTCCAAAGGGCTGGGAGTGTGCTGTGCCTTGGTAATGCTTGGGCATGGTCTTCAAGGGTAGCTCTGACTCTGGGAGCTTTCAGAACCTAGTTGCCATAGCAGATGCCTCTCACTCCACTGAGACAGTCTGAGATCTGTGCACTCACAGCATTTTACGGTCACTGAACCACTCTGGTGCCATGACCTCAGAGCCAAAAGGGCTCTCTCATGGTCCACTGCCCCTGGGCTGGGACTCTGCCTGCAGCCTGCTGGCTTCTAGGTCGTGGCCCTGGCTTATCTCTAGTATCCTGGGCCATACTGAGCAGGGTCCAGACCAGAAAGCTCTTCCCTGGGCTGTGCCCCTTCCTTCCCCTGCAAGCATGGTGCTGGACGCAAAGCCAAGGGGTCCCCCAGATGTACAGCATGGACAGGCCAAGGGGCTACCTGAGCAGCTGGGCCCAGTGCCAGAGCTGGTGCTGTTGCGTTTCTGTAGCATCTTGCCTTGGAGACCTGGAACACCGCAGCTCAGGATGTAGCTGTTTTCCGAGTCTGCAGAGAGGGCAGTGGGTGAGATGGGCCTGGGTGCACCTCCCTGCCAGATTCTTGGGGCTTACAAGGGGTTGCTGAACAAGATGAAGGTCAAGACTGACCTTCACATCAGTTTGTTTCTGCTACATGACCAAGGTAAGTGGTCAGGCAGGAATGAGCCCACCACATTTACTGAAAAGGACACTGAGACCCACAGAAGACCAGACAGCTGCCCAGGATCACTCAATGATCAGGGCCCCCCATTCCTAGGTTGAACTCTTTCCTGGAGAACAGCAGGGAGCAGGAGATGGACCCCAGGGGAGAAGGCCCTGTGCAACACCGTCCCAACCCAGGGACAGCCTGGGATTACCTGGCACGAAGAGTGTGTAGGCTGGGCAGGAAAGGAAGCAGCTTTCCACGCCGCTCCCCTTGCTGCAGGACAGATGGGCCTGGGGTGAGGCCTTGGACCGAGAAAGGCACTTGCCTGTTTCTGAGGAGAAGGAAGACACAAGAAAGGACCTGAGAGGGGCCAGGGTGGAGGCTTCCTGGAGCCAGCAGGCCCCCGAGCATGGACTAACAAGGACTCCCACCACATCTCCCTCTCATGGCTAGACCATCTTGGTGGGAAGGGCTCAGAGATGGCAGGGTCCAGACTCATTTGCTGTGTGGGGATGCTGGGCCCAGATAGCTGGCTTATTCCTTCTCCCCCTCAGACACCAGTCCCAGCTGTCTGTGAAAAGGTTCATGTCCCATCCCCAGACCAGGAGCTCCCCAAGGGCAGGGCTGAGTTCTCTGGAGAGGAAGTCCAAGCCTGTCTGGGGGAAGGAAAGGTTATGAATAAACTCAGTCTTCTTGGTGGTGGCCTGACCCCTAAGCATGGGAGGGTCACTAGGAACCATCTCTCTGGGGTAGCCCCTGACACATCCATTAGGTGTCTGAAGATGTCCAAGCCTGAGCTCTTCAGAATTTCTCATGTGTTTATCTTTAGAGGGTTAAAAAATTCCCGACTCTTAGAAAAGACTGAGCATTCTATAGGTAAATATAGAACTGGTTTTACAGATGTCTAACTGGCAATGACAACTGGCTTAGGTGACATGTCTCTGGAAGTCAGCTCATCAGTCCCAGCCTCACCCTGAGTCAGTCAGCAATTGGACCACTCCAGTGACCAGCCCTCCAGGCTCAGTCATGCCACTTTCCTTCTGTAACCAACACAAGCCACACGTTAAGACTCTCACCAACCTAATCCTGACACAACCTAAAATAAACTGTTCCCAAGATCCCTATGAAAAACCAGCTTTGCTCAATGAGCCGCCTGATGAACACTTCTTTACTTAAATAAGCAATAAACTCGGCTTTTTGGCTTAAGATACTGAGTGGTGATCCTATCTTTTGGTAATTATGAAGGTTTCTCCAAGACTGTTTTAGAAAACCCTTGCTTCTAATGTTCTGTGAGAGCCTTGGACCCACAGATGTCCTTCACTAAGCCCCTTGTGCCCACATTTAATCTGTCCCTCAGACTGGTTTCCAGGATAGTGCAGCTCAACAAAGATCTGAACTCTTACTTGTTTTGTTGAGCTCTCATGCTAATTGATACAGTTATCACATAGATTTTTGGTTGGGTAATCAGACCTTTTGGTTTGCAGGTGCACCATTAACCTGCATATTCTTCTGCTGTGTGTTTTGCTTTTGCTCTTGTTTGACTATTATGTAAAGTTTTATCCCATGGGTTGTATTTTGCTCTGACTTGTCTTGTGTCTGCTAGATATATAAGGGTGTGCTCCCTGGGGAGCAGATAGAGACACAAGCCCTGCATTCCTCCAACCCAACCCAAGGTGGCCCCAAGCACCAATGGTCAGAGGTCATTAAACTGTGGGCCAATTTGTGCAGACGACTGGGCAGACCTCGCCTTGGGTCCCTTGTAAAATCTTTTTTTTTTTTTTTTGTCTTTTTTCGTGTCCAGCAACGGATCGCAACCCTCAGTGTCGCACCCGTACTGGACCGGGACTGGCAACGGGATCGCAACCCTTGGCGCTGCGCCCGCACCTCGCTCAGCCAGTGAGCGGGAACCGGTCCATATGTGGGATCCGAACCCTCGGCGGGAGCGCCGCTGCGCTCCCAAGCGGCGCACTGTAGTAGTGCGCCACCTGGCTGGCCCCTCCCTTGTAAAATCTTGACGAGGCACTCCTGTTCTGCCAACATGTGAAAGGTGGCCACTCTGTTTTCTCTGTATCCTGAGGAACAATTGTCAGGTGACTGAACGCATGGTCCTTTCTAGCCTGTTTGGTTGAGGGAAACTGGGACGCTAGGCTAAGCACACACTTTTGACTGACTGTAGTGATTATCACGGTTTGTTATATCAAAGCTGCAATTGTCCTGACAGAACTCCTGCATCCTTATTAATTTAGACTAAGATCCTAACTCCTGTGCTTGTGTTGGTAAATGGCAAACTGCCCCCTCCCTGTCCTCCACAAAACCCAAACCACCATCACCACCACCAACAACTTAGAATAATAGTGATCATTATGGGAACTTCTGACATGTCAAAATTAGAAAATTGCATATTTAAGAGTTGCTCTGAAAAGTTAGGAGACAAAGTACCGATCATTCAGTAGTCAGCTTCTGTCATTGGTATACGTCAGTTTCCTCCTACCCAAATTTTCTGAAACCCACCTTCTTGCAGTTCTCTCTCATTACCCTCATCCCATTCCTTCTGCTCCTGCCCCTGACCTCTTACACAAGCAACTCCTTCCTCAGGGTTTATCTCAGGAAAGAAAAATCACATTGTACAATATTCCATTGAAACTGCTAAACCAGAAAACAGATCTATAATGTTGAATTTAAAGTCTGATCTAGGGCCAAGTTGGGTGCTAAATTAAATTTTCCTAAACTTTAGGAGATAGACAAACATTTGCTTCAGAATTCAGGATTTTGTTGGATAGTTATTGCCTTGGGTGATCAGACCTGTACTAATGAGTTCACTTAATTGTTGGAATCTTGGATGGGGAAAGAAAGATCAAAGGCAGCAGATGGTAAAGGTCAGGAGAAGATTTAAATACTTAGCTGTGCATAATTTAAAAAACTAGCCTTAAGAGAACAAGAAAAATAAGGAACTATAGTACACAAGGCATTCGGAAGCTTTTCCCTTAAGAAAAAATTGGATAAAGACTCAAAATTGTGAACAAAATAAATATGATTCAATAGGACACTTTAAACATAGACTTCAAACTTTCAAACAATACATTTGAGTAGACCCAAAAGCCAAAATACAGGGAGCCTTGTCTTTTCTTTTTATAAATGGGCTCACACGTGAAATAGGGGACTTAGTCAGAAAAATAAATTAGAATGGGAAAATCTTCAACATGTGGCTGAACATTTTCAAGGAGTATTAGAAAGTAAATAATCTAGGAAAAAACCTCATGGCCCTCCAGATGAAAACATCTGGCACTCAAATAAATACCAAATCAAAAGTCCTTTTTTGCAAAGAATCAAGAGTCTATAGATCAGAACACATGTAGATAAAGCAAGCAAGAAGGTTGCTGGAAGAACTGATGTTCACACTGGTTAGGAACAGAAGGACAATTATCCACAACCTTTGTAAGTAAACATTAGCCCCCAACAGTTTCCTGTATATTCTCAAAACTCCAGAAGGGAATTGTCAATACACACAGACAACACCACAGCTTTCTTGCTCATGTGGGGGCTGCTCGGGGGGAGGAAATCCTCCCAGCCCTTCGTGCTGTTGCTGGGTGTGCGGAGATTGCAGAGAGAGCCAGCAACTTTGAGGGAAGAGGCAGCATCTCCTCTCAGACAAAGAGAAGGCTGGCTTCTGTCCACTATAAAAGTGGTGAGTTTTCCCAAGCTTGGCTTGGGATGCAAACCCCCTGCCTGCATAGCAGCCACCTGGACCCCACTGAGTCACCCCCATGGGACTTGGAGGAGGGGCACAAGGGAAACCAACACACACGCTGCCCTTGCTGCTCACTGTGACGAGAGTAATAAAGTCCTTTGTTTCTGAGCCAGGAGTCTCATGCCTTCTGCCAGCATCCAGGAAACAGGAGGAGCCAGCTTCCTCAGCTAGTAAGGAGCAAACTCTCAGACCCAGAGTCCACCATATAAGCCATTCATTCTACTACCACAGAACATCAATCTCTCAGAGTAAAGCTTAAAGTTGCCTGAAAAGCAAGAGGGAAGGCGAACTGACAGGCAGTAAATTAAAAAAGGAAAAAAAGTGCTTCAGTCTTAAAGTAAGAACATCTGGTTGTGGAGGATGTGAAAGAAGACAGTAAAAGGAGAGCTTGAGAGTGTATAGGAAGTTGTGGAAGGCTTGAAGAGATAGAAACTTGATTCATTCTGGTCTCCTAAAACCATTCAAGTAGTGAGGATTCCTAACAACCCCCAGTTCTTTCCCAAGTTCCAACCTGTAAGTGTTCCTCTGGGACCTTTATCAGAACAGAAGCACCCTTCCTTTCTCAGGGACAAAGGCTCTACCTGTGTAGTGGGGAGGGATCTATTCTGCAGTTGGAACTGCCAGATAAAATACTCTTAACAGGGTTATTTTTAGAAGTCCCAGAAAATTCTTTACACATGAGTCAAATTATAGCTGATAGGAATCTTAACGTATCTATATTGTATATGATTCAAAAACAGAATCCCTGGAGCAAAAGCTTCTACAACAGCAGAACAAGTGAAACAGAGCCCAGTAGGAATGCAGACTGAGTCTTCCTAAACTGTCATAATTTTTTTTTTTTTTGGTATAAACATGCCAAAGTTAGGCCATGCTCTGGGAGTATAAACTCAACAACATGGCGAGCATTAACAACCCATTCATCTCCTTGGGTCATTAGCCAAGGTGTGTTCTCCCTGCCGCAGAGCAATTGCAGCCTTGAAAGCTGAGACATCTTCAGACCTTGCACTAGAATGACCTTTAAATCTCAGGGTACCACTCATAGTATGATCCCTATTGTGAACTGGAAATACCCATTGTTTTAATTTAATATTTAATTAATACTTTTATTTATATTTTAATTGCTTATTAAGTAACTAATTACAGTGTCTGGTTACTTTCTTCTTCTCATATTCACATTAAGCAACTCTCTTACCCTTTCCTGAAGGAAAAACTCATCTTTGTGTTTCTGTACTTCAGAAGTGTTCAGATCTAGAACACATCTTCTGGATACTACCTAACAAATCCCAACTTGGTATTGTTTATTGATGGGACTTATTTTAAAAATGAACAGATCCTTGGGCCGGCCCGGTGGCGCACTGGAGAGTGCGCCGCTTGGGAGCGCGGCGGCGCTCCCGCCGAGGGTTCGGATCCCATGTGGAGACCGGTTCCTGCTCACTGGCTGAGCGCAGTGCGGGCGCAGCACCGAGGGTTGCGATCCCGTTGCCGGTCCCCGGTATGGGCGCGACACCGAGGGTTGCGATCCTGTTACCGGTCAGTAAAAAAGACAAAAAGGAAAAAAAAAAATGAACAGATCCTAAATTTCATAAGGATATTCAAGGGAAGGTCAAGAGTAGTCAAATCAATCTTAAACATGAAATACAAAGTTGAAAATCAAACTAGTCAAATCCATCTTGAACATGAAATACAAATGCTCACACTTCCTGATTTCGATACTTACTGAAAAGCTATGGTAAGTGACAGTGGGGTATTGGCATAAGGACACACAGATCAACAGAACAGAGAGTCCAGACATAAGCCCACATTTGCAGTCATTTGATTTTGACAAAGATGCCAAGACAATTCAATGGGGCAAAAGAATAGTCTTGTGAACAAATAATGCAGTGAGAACTGGATGGCCACATGCAGAAGAATGAAGCTGGATTCCTATCTGACATCATATTAAAAAGTTACCTCAAAATGGGTCAAAGACCTAAGTGTAAGAGGTAAAACTATAAAACTCTTAGAAGAAGACATATGTGTAAATCTTTGGGACCTTGGATTAGGCAATGGTTCTCAGAAAGGACACCAAAAACACAAGCAACTGAAAAAAAAACCAGATCTCATGAAAATTAAAAGCTTTTATGATCAAAGGACACCATCAAGAAAGTGAAAAAGCAACTCACAGAATAAGAGAAAATCTTTGTAAATCATATATCTAATAAGGGACTTCTTTCTAGAATATATAAAGAAACCTTAAAATTGAATAATAAAGACAAATAACCCAATTAAAAAAGTGCACAGGATCTGAACAGACATTACTTGAAGTAACATACACAAATGGAAAATAAACACATGAAAAGATACTCAACATCATTAGCCATCAGGGAAATACAAATCAGAACCACAAGATACCATTTCATATCTACCAGGATGGCTATAATCAAAAAATTCGATAATAACAAGTGTTGGTGAGGATGAGGGACCCTGGAGCATTGCTGGTGGAAATGTAAAATGGTGCAGCCACTTTGGAAAATAGTTTAGAAGTTCCTTAAAAGTTAGAGTTACCATATAACCCAGCAATTCCAACCCTAGATATATACCTAAGAGAACTGAAAACATATATACACACAGAAAACTGTACACATCACAGCAACATTATTCACAATAGCCAAAAAGCGGAACAACCCAAATGACCATCAACTGATGAAAGGATAAACAAAATGTGGTACGTACATACAATGTAATATAATTTGGCAATAAAAAGGAATGGGATACTGATACGTACTGCAACGCCGGTGAACCTTGAAAACATGCTAAATGAAATAACCCACTCAAAAAGATCGTACGCTGTATAATTCCACTTCTATGAAAAGTTCAGGATGGGCAAGTCCATACAGACAAAAGTAGATGAGTGGCTGCCAGGGGCTGCAGGGCTTGAGGGACAATAGGGAGTGACTGCTATGGACACGGAGTTTCTTTCTGGAGAAATAAAAATGCTCTAAAATTTATTGTGGTTGCACAACTCTATGAAAATACTAAAAAACCACTGAACTGTATGCTTTAAATCCTAGGGCATGTGAATTATATCTCAATAAAGCTGTTAATAAACACAGAAAACAAAATGAAGAGGGACAAGACCAGGAAGGAGATGCAAGAATTATCCAGGCTGGGCTCCAGCCCTAAGGGACCCAAACTGGCTCTAGCAGCCCAACGTAGGGCCCCTCTTCAGGATGTGTAAATTGCTAAAAATAAAAGCATAAATATTTACAGAGAGCTGGCGAGCTTTTGGAGTAACGTGCAACTTTGGAATGATACGAAAACAAAGAGGTTTATTGCCCATAACTAAAACCCAGAGGCGGATAGAGTTTGGTGGTGCTGTCCCCCCACAAACTCATGTGGAAATCTGACCCCCAACGTGGCGGTGCTGGGAGCTCTTTGAGGCACAGAGAGATTCCTCATGAATGGCTTAATGCTCTCCCTGGGGAGCAGGGCAGTGAGTGAGTTCTCTATTATTTCCCGTGAGAGCTGGTGTTTCAAAGACCGAGGCATTTCCCCTCTCTCTCTTGCTTCCTGTCGCCATGTGATCTGCTTGTATCCACCGGCTGCTGGCGTTTCCCTCCATAAAAGACCGTGGCATCTCCCCTCTCTCTCTTGCTTCCTGTCGCCATGTGATCTGCTTGTACCCACCGGCTGCTGGCGTTTCCCTCCATGAGTAGAAGCAGCCTGAGGCCCACACCAGACGAGGCAAAGACCGAGGCATTTCCCCTCTCTCTCTTGCTTCCTGTCGCCATGTGATCTGCTTGTATCCACCGGCTGCTGGCGTTTCCCTCCATGAGTAGAAGCAGCCTGAGGCCCACACCAGACGAGGCTGTCCAGAATCGTGAGCCAAATAAACCTCTTCTCTTTATAAGTTACCCAGTTTCAGGTTTTCTGTTATAGCAACACAAAGTGGACTAACTTTTTGGTTGGGGGAAAGAGATAGAAGGCAGAGCAGATGGTTTCACAGCTCATCCTGCTCAACAGTGCTTTGCCTCAAGTACTTAGGCAAGGCCCTCACCAAGTCCAGAGAGATGGATCCATGGAGAGGTTGAAGGATTCCACCCCCACACACTATACGTGGCTTCCTATTCCGAAAAGGAGAAATGGGAACGATCAAGTTCTAAGATCCATGAAGATGCTTTCTGGAGAGGCCAGGCTGGCCACGCAACACCACCAGACCACCTCACATAGACTTCTGTTAACATCTTCCCTAGGACGACTCATTCCCAAAGGGACAAGTTGACTATGTTATTAGACAATGTTGGTGACAAACTTTCGAGGGTAGTAGAGGAAATGACCAGCTCATGACTGTTCTGTAACCAACACAGTCTTGGATAAACTGTAAAGATGCACTGGAACCAAACCCTAAGGTGCCCTTTGAGCATCTCCTCATGACTTTATGGGTCATAAATACATACTAGTAATATTAGCATGCTCATTTTCTGAATAAATTGAAGCAGTCCCTTATTGAAAAAATATAACAGCTCTTAGGAGCTACAATATTCGATATTCTGTTCCTTATTTGAGATGTTCCAACCTTATTTATTTAGTAATATATGGACACATTTTATTGGGAGAGTTATTTATAAATTACCCCCAAAATTCACTGTCTTTATTATCCCTCCTCTTTTGGAAAAATAGAAATGAATTTTTCAGAAGTATGAAGTTATCATTTAGAGGCCTTAACCTGAGGTTCTTCAGAGAAGTCCCAAAAGCGGATGGGTCACAGAAATCTCTTGTTACCTAATGCGAGCCTGTAAAATACATATTACGTCTGGTGGTTTGACGTGCTGTGGAAGGAAAAGACGGCCAGAAAGCAAAGGGGTCTAGAGGGGGTGCAGAGGTGGGTGGGGAGCTCGGGCCTCACTGACCGGACGCCCACAGCAAGGGAGGAGTGGAGGATGCTGGGGGAGATCCCTTAGGCCAAGAGAAGGGCAGGGCCTGGGCTCAGGGTAGGGAAGAGGTGCTGCCAGCTCGGGGAGGCTGGCATGGAGCAAATGAAGGTGAGGGTATAAGATCAGGCCAGCTGGGGGTAGACATTTGGCCATTCTAAGGACTGTGGCTTTGATTCTGAGTGCAACGAGGAGTCACTGGAGGACTCTGAACAGAGAGGGATGTTCTGGCTTAGATTTACAAGGCTCACTCTGGCTGCCCTAGGGACATAGAGCATGGCAGGGCAAGGACTGGAGAGTGGGTTCCAGAGGGTAGGCTCATATTCCCAGCATCCAGAACAGGACTAGGCACATAGGAAGTAGTTGGTGGTATCTGGGGAACCAATGAATGGGGGGGATCATCCAGAACTCAGCCTAGAGGTATCCACGGTGCCCGGAGCTCATGAACAGAGGGTGCATGAACCTTGGCTTTCTAGCAGGACCCCTCAACCCCAACTGTGGGGCTGGTGTCGGGGGTACCCCTCTGTGTAGGTACTTCCCGGTCCAGACCCTGATGCTGCTGTACCCTGTGTGACCCCCAAACCCCTCAGCTCCCTAGGCAGGACAAGGGGGGATTGGATGAAGGGAGGTCTCCATATCTGCTCCATCTAAACTTCCAGCCCCTGCCCCGCAAGATACCAGTGGGGCCCCTGTGCCTCTTGGCTTTGGCTGCACAGTGACCTCTCAGATATTACCTCTGTGGCCCTCCCACCCTCGCAGGTCCCTGTTTCTGTGCCTCTGGCTGACACTAAGCTTGCTCTGCCACCCATGTCCCCCACCTCTTCTGCAAGCCCTCATCCCCATTAGCCATATTCCAGCAACAGAGAGCCCCTGCCTAGAAACCCAAGGCCCATAGGAAGAGGGTGGCCCGGCCTTGCTCCCCTTCACTTGGGAAAAGTCACTGCCCCCTCTCATCCCAACTCCAGGTGCAAGGGGAGGAGCCGAGGCGGGGTGGTCCCACCAGCCGCCCCCACTCACCCACACAGTCCTTCCTGTTCCAGTGGAGCCGCCTCCCTGGTGGGCAGACACACTCATAGCTGCCTCTGGTGTTGACGCAGCCCTGGTCACAGCTCGCGTTGTTCATGCTGCACTCATCCACATCTGCAAGCACAGGTGGCAGTAAGGGCAGGAGGAGAGGCTGGACAGGCTAGCCGAGGCCACACCTATGGGGCTGGCAGGGCGAGAGGGCTGAGAATCTCCTGACCCCACCCCCAGCCTGATACCATCATGCAGCACAGACATGTAGCTGTACATGACACACACACACGGGTGCATAAGGCTCCTCACAGACACCAACACACATCCTTCCCTGGGGAACCTCAGCAGTTTTCTGAACTCAGGCAGCTGCACCTAGACTAGGGGGAGGGCAGAGGTGGTGGCATACAATTAGAGTTCCAATCCAGCCAGGTCTTGTGGCGCAGGGGACAAGCACTGGCCCGGGGATCATGAGGCCTGATCTCACTGTGGGACTATGGACGAGTCCCCTTCCCAGCCTCACTTTCCTCTCCTGTACAATAGGCACCAGGCTGAAAGAAGTCACCTCTAAGGCCCTTCCTCCTCTGACCAAAGGCACCCACTGGAGGTGGGAAGGACAAGCACTGGCCCGGGGATCATGAGGCCTGATCTCACTGTGGGACTGTGGACGAGTCCCCTTCCCAGCCTCACTTTCCTCTCCTGTACAATAGGCACCAGGTTGAAAGAAGTCACCTCTAAGGCCCTTCCTCCTCTGACCAAAGGCACCCACTGGAGGTGGGAAGAAAGGGCTGGACCCTCATACTCTGTTAGCCCCGAGGATGCCTGAATGCCAGGCGGCAGCAGGCCCAGGGAAGTGGTGCCCAGATATTTGAGTGTCCCTCCAGAAGAATCTGCAGCCCACCTCCAGAAGCCACTCCCAGCACCAGCTGTCCCCTGATCACTTCATTGCCTGACCCCATTTGACCTTCAAGCTGCCCTGCAGAGTACATGTGGCTATCCCAAAGTCACAGAAAAGCAAAAGACACCAGGGCCATCCTTGGCTGCCCCACCTATGCAACACCAAGTCCCACCAGCTCAGCCCCAGCTCCTAAGTACATCTAGAACCTTCCCCTCCTCTCCACCCCTGCCCACCTTGCCCCAGCTCCAGTAGCTCGGCTCCCATGTCAGGAGCTGTCTCCCCACTGTTACTCTGGATGCCACTCTCCTTTCCACACAGCAGCCAGAGCGTCTCGTTACATGAACTTGACCATATTATACCTCTATTTAAACCCTCCATTTATGTCTCATTGCGCTGAGAATAAAACCCCAAGTCCCCTCTGGGCTCAGGAAGCCCTGAATTGTACGGCCGTGCCGCTTCCCTGTCTGCACCTCCCACCACGCTCCCCTCTCTTGTGGGCTCCAGCCACACCATTGTCTTTTGGTCCCTCTGTGCTGCCTCTGCCTTGGTGCCGTTACACAGGCTGACCCCTATAGAATGCCTCCCCCCATCTTGACCCAAACTTTCCTCTTTTAGGATCCCCCCATTGTCTTGATATTCTGCCCTTCTCTGTTGTGACCCTCTCTCACTGGAACTGGGATTTTCTGTGTATTGGCCATCCCCCCTTCTGGACTAGGGTAAATGTGATTTCTATGCCTATGCCCACAACCTTTCCAAGGCCTGGCACCTAGTGGATACTTGCTGCCCCCCTCCCCCTGTGTCTTCCCCCACCCCCACCTTGCCCTTGGCTAAGCCCCTCTGCCCAGCCATCCCCAGCCTTGCTGATGTCCCTCCTAGGCCCACCAGGGTCAAGGTCAGTGTCGGGGTGTGGGGTGCAGTGTAGGGGGCCATGTGGCCAGGTGCGTGCCTCGGGGGGAAGGCGGCCCTGGCGGGCGGGCTGCAGACCTCCGCAGTGGGTTGTCCCGTAGAGTGTGTAGCCATGGTGACACAGGCACTGGAAGCTGCCCAGGGAATTGATGCAGATGTGGTCACAGGTCCGCTCGAAGGAGCACTCATCAATGTCTGTGTGGCCAAAGGGAGACAAAGTTTGGGGAGCAGTTTCAGGGTGTGATGGGTGGGCATGACCTGTCACTCTCAGTCACTCAATGCATATCTGTACATGGACAGTCCCTGGGCCCTGAGGCTCAGTACAGAGCTGACCCACAGTGCATGTTAGACTTCTTGTTGCTGCTCGACTTTCCATTTTATCTCCATTAACCTTCGGTTCCTAGGTTAGAAACCAACTCGCATCTTTTCTGGAGGTGAGCAGGGTAGAAATATCTTGAATAGAAGGGATTGTTCAGGAAGCTGACTGGGGCTTGCCCGAGGGCCCTGAAGAAGCTGCTGAACTGGGACATGCATCCAGGCCTCTTGGATGCTGACCAACGTGTGTTTTCCCACCACCCCAAGATGTTTCTCAAGAAAACAAGGAAAAGAACACAAACAGAAAGAGGGGAAGAGGGGAATGCTATTCACAAGGGTTGAAAAGAGAGCTCTAATAGCATATGAAATTTGATTATAAGCCTCCTGGCAGTCAAGGTAAAGAGGGAGAGGGGGAGGTCACGGAGTGCTTGTTACTGGAAAGGAGGAAATGAACCACATGCTCAGAGGAGACAAGTCTGTCCCAGCCACAAATTATGAGGACAATGGCTCCTACAGGACAGCTGATGGGGCCCCTGAGAGCAAAGCAGACGATGACCTGACCCTCCATGGACACAGCAGTTAAGAGTTCATTCTTTCACTATGTTAGTTCACGTGACTTCACACATACTCATTATACATGCACGTTTACAAAAACGCTAACACAAGGAAAGAATCATACTGCATGTGCTCAGAGGAGGATGTGCTCCCTCCTGGGGGCATCTGGGAAGACCTCCTGGTGCTTGGGGCACCTGGGCTAGACCTTGAAGGACAGGACGGGGCCGGCTTGGAAAGAGGGAATGAGAGTGGAGGAAGGGTGCTCCAGGCAAAGGCACAGGGTGCCCAGGGGATCGTGTTGTGTGGAGCTCCAGGGGGACCAGGGAGTTGTCTGGGTCCCCACCTTCAGGTCCCTGAGTGCCAAGAAAAGGAGTTTGGACCCCTCCTGATGGACCTGGGGAGCCCAGAGCCCCAGGGTCTCAGAGAGATGAACCTGCAAAAGGGTGGAGAAGAAACAGGTGGGGGTGGGGTGTGGGGGGCAGGTGAGGACAGAGCCTTGTCCCAGAGCCCAGAAACAGACATGCCATCTCACCTTTCCTCAGCAGCTGCCCGCCTGTCTCAGGGGGCAGCTGGGATACAAGGTCAAGGGCCTTCTAAGTCCTCCACAGAACTCAACAAGGCCGACCGAGAAACAAAATCTAAGTGCAGAGGAGTCCTGATTGGGGCCTGGACAGATGCTTCTGACAGGCCCTTGTGCCCTAAGAGGAAGACAGGGCCAGGATGCCCGTCCAGGGATGAAGAGGCTTCCCGGGGAGGGGAAGTGACTGGCGCAGGTCACACAGTGAGTCCCAGGATGGGCTGGTCCTGGAGCCTCCCTTGCCAGCTTCTGGCTCCTGCCTTCCTCAGGGCCCTTGTGGAGCACATCCCTCACACGTCAAGGCCTCAAGCTGCACTAAGAGGCAGAAGCCCAAGTCCTACACCCAGACTATGCTGTGTGCAGCCTGCACCTACAGGTACCCCACAGAAATAAAACTAGCAGACTGCAGCGGAATCATCAGTGAGGAAACTGAACCCCTACGCTGCCCATGGGATACCCTGCCCCCTCCTTCTGCACTTTCTCCCAACGCTGGTCCCACAGGGTATTCCCTCTCCTTCCCAATGGCCTCATCCAGCCCCACTGAGCTCCTTATGGTCCCCCAAACTCCCTCAGCCCAGTAGTGCCATCTCCAGGTGGGTTCACCTGCCTGGCTCCTCCTGGAAAACGCCTACTCATCCTTCCAGCATTTCACCAATAAACCCTCCCCGGGAACCCTTTTCCCTGACCACCCCTCTCCACTGTCCATCTTCTGGGCTTCCGCTGCATCCTGGACATCTGATGAACTTGTCCTGGGCTTCCTGGCTTCTGCCCGGACCCCTCCTGCCATTGTCCTTGTTCCTAGCATGTGCCAGGGACCCTAAGGAAGGACCGCTGGAGGGCGCCTGCAATGTGCAAAGCCTTCCAGCAGGTGGCAGCATCCTGCTTCCGAAGCCAGAGCAGTCCGGCCACTGAAGGAAGCCTGGGGGTCACCTGGGAGGGGAGCTGACAAGCTTGGCCACCGACTCACTGTGCCACCTGGGACATGTGCTGATCCCTCCCTGGGCCTCAGTTTCCCATCTATAAAAGGGACAGGTTGGACTGGATGGGCTCTGGAGTCATAAAGGACAGGGAAGGCAGGGTGGTGAGGAGCGCATGTAAGGACTGGAAGGTCACCCCTATCCCCTCAGGTCCAGCCCAGCAGCGGGCACCGACCCCACCCACACGCCCACCTCCTCTCCTAGAGCCTGCATAAGCCCAGGAGGAAGGGACATTGAGCCTGCTGGGACCCGAGGAGGATGGGGTTGTCCCAGGCCCCGAGGGCTGCCCCGGGTACGGGAGGAGGCTCACCCTGACACGTCCGCTCGTCAGTCAGCAGCTTGTAGCCCTTCCGGCAGCCACACTCGAAGCTGCCCACGGTGTTGCGGCAGAAGTGGTCGCAGCCTCCATTGTTGACCAGGCACTCGTTGATGTCTGTGGGAGCCAAGTGGGAGGGACTGAGCTTGTGTACTTGGCGGGGGGGTGACGACCCAGTGGAGGGACAGCACTGACTTGTCTGTCGCCCACTGCCAGGGCTGGTCTCAGACTTCCCAATTGAGCATAGGGATGGGGGCCTGTCTCACAGGGGTGGGGGTCAGGGGACTGGGTTACACTGGGCAGGCCCAGCTCCCCCAAGCTCCACCCCTCCCCAAGACTTGGTGAGCGTGGTATTCATGACACAGAACAGAGAAGAACTGGTATGTACTGTGCCACACAGGACAGCAGGGACCATGATGTCCGCCATGTCCTTTGCTCCACACATTCAGGGAGGCAGCCTAGAGGGCAGTGAGGCTGGAGCAGGCAGGTACCACTTCCGGTGGCCTCGGGCAAGCTACTGGAACCCCCTGAGCCTTGGCCTGCTGTCAGCACAACGAAGACAGGAAGTGCACCCACTGTGAGGAACACCATGAGGACACACAAGGTAACACCCTTAGGGTGCTGGTGCTTACTTAGTGCTCAATACAATTTTTTAAAAAGTAGGTTTTATTGACCCTTGGCTGATGAGGAGACTGAGGCCTAGAAAGGTAAAGTACCTGGTGCAAAGGCTTCAGCTGCTAAATGGGGAGCTGGGCTGTGTACCTGGATCTGACCAACTTCCCACTGCCCCAGCCCAGTTGCCCACCTGTCTTGGCTGATGAGGAGACTGAGGCCTAGAAAGGTAAAGTACCTGGTGCAAAGGCTTCAGCTGCTAAATGGGTAGCTGGGCTGTGTACCTGGATCTGACCAACTTCCCACTGCCCCAGCCCAGTTGCCCACCTGTCCCAATCCCATGGAATAAATGATGCCTCTTCTGAGCAACCTGCCAGCAGCCTCTGCTGACACACTTGAGGTGACAAGGAGCTTTCTCCCTCACAGCATGGCCTGCTGCCTGAGCACAGCCCTGACCCCGGTCAAGTCCCTCGCCCCGTCTGAGTGTCCTGCTCATCTGGGCTTTGCTGTCAGGGCCCCAGATCAGCCTGGCATTCTGTGCCATCAGAGGCCTTGTCCCTAAGGGGCCTCTTCTCCAGGAGATACAATTCCAGCTACTCCAAAGTTCCTCTTGGGCCCTGGCCTCCTGACACGGCCCAGCACTTAACAACAAAAGACATGAGCATCAGGATGGTGGCCTTACCCTGAGATCTGGAGGAGAAGAGAGGAAGCAACGGAAGAGACCCTTCCAGCAAGGAAAACGGAAAGATCTTCTCCCCGCTGGTCACTGGCCATCTCTCCGCAGAACTGCCAGCTGCAGATTCCAGCATCTACTGAGCCTGCCCTGAATGTGGGTGCTGGGCCAGGTGCCCAGACGGCTAATGGGCACTGCCCTGGGAGGAAGGTAAACCTGTTCCCATTTTACAGACGGGGGAACTGAGCCCCACAGAGGCGACTCATTCCTATCACAGTGACTCTGACCTCAGGCCGAGCCTCACACCAGGCTGCTTTCACTTCCTTTTCCTCAAACCAAACAGGCTGCACTTGATGCCTGCCCAAAAGTCCTAAAGCAGTGTTCCTACAGAATGTTCCCCAACAACACCAGAACAAAAACCCAGTCTCTGGTCCAGTGTATTAGAGGAACGTGGGGCTAAAGAGAGTGTGTCTGAGAGGCCCCATGTGGGCATTCTGGAGCCTTTGTGAGGTGTTCATGCCAAGTACTTTGTGGCAACATTGCACACGATGTCCAAACAACCGGGAGAACAGAGCTCCCATGTTATAGATGAGGTCACAGGACTACGTGCAAGAACCAGGTCTCAGCCAGCGTCTCTGTCCCCAAAGATAGGCCTTCTCCAGTACACATCACACTCACCTGGAGCAACTAGAGAGACATGAAGTCCAGTGTGGCCTGGTCCACGGCAGAGGCTCAAGCATCTCCATCACCTGCCCCCTACAACCCTCAGCATAACAGGAAGATGAGGGAATTTCTAAGCTAGAAGCCTCAGGCAGGAGAACAGAGGCCCCCTCTACTCTGCCTCCAGCAGCTGTGGAATCTTGGGCAGGAAAAGTACCTCTCTGAGCCTCAGGTTCCCCGTCTGCACACCAGGTTGCTAACCGGCACCTCTCCTAGCGTCATTATGAAGATTAAATGTGCTAAGCAGACAGGGGCTGCCACATGGTCATGACCATGACTCCTGCTTTCTTAGGCCTTCTGGAACCCCCAATCCATCCCCTTCCCCATCTAGGCCTGTCAGCTAAGGGCTGTCATAGCAACCAGACAGGCGGAGGGTGGCATGTTTGCTTGAGGCCCAAGGCTGGTGTAGCTGGCTGCGTGGGTAACAGTGTGGGGGGGAAGTCCCTGTTTCCCTGCTCTAACCCAGGATACAGAGAGCGGGGTGCTGGGCTCACATGGCCCCTCAAACCCCATTCTGACGAGCCCCCAGGGCTGTAGTTTCTGTCCCTCTCTCCATTTCCCCTCCTCCACTGTGCTCCCACCCGCCCTCCACCAGGCTCTCAGAGCCACTTTCTACACACAAATCTGACTGTGTCCACTACCTGCTGGCAAGTCTTCTGAGGCCTCCTGATCTCCCAGGACAAAGGCCCCACGCCTCTGCAGAAACTCACAGCCCTCCCCTTTGCAGCCTGGGCCAGGCTGCCTTTTCTCCTCTTCTCTGAGTGCCTTGGCAGCCCGGACTCTGGCCACCTCACCCGGCATGGCTGCAGTCCACCTGATCTCCCAGGACAAAGGCCCCACGCCTCTGCAGAAACTCACAGCCCTCCCCTTTGCAGCCTGGGCCAGGCTGCCTTTTCTCCTTTTCTCTGAGTGCCTTGGCAGCCCGGACTCTGGCCACCTCACCCGGCATGGCTGCAGTCCACCGCTCACCTGCTGACCCTCTGCAGGGATGGAGGGCCCACCCCACCCACCCGCCATGCCTGGGAAAAACTGCCCTTCTGGGAAGCCTTTCCTAATGTTCTCTCCCTTGTCATGGGACCTGCTCTCAGGGGCAAGAGGGACCTCAGGGACTACAAAGATGGAGGCATCTGCTCCTGTCTGGTGCCCCAGTGCCCAGCATGAGTGACTGCCTAGGAATGTTCATTTACTGAATAAATGAATAAACGAGTGAGTCCAGGTGATCCCAGACAAGGAAGACGACCTGAGGGTTGAGAGGAGGGAGGGGCCTCGGGCCAGGAGCGCAACATTGGGCTGCACACCCGACATCAGAGCATGAGCAAGTGTGTATGGGGGAGGCAGGTGCCAGGTGACAGGGTGAACTATAGGGGTGCACAGTAGGACAACTGTTCCTGTTTCCTTTTGCCCACCCCACTGAGGGGGCACAGCCTGGCAACCCAGGTAGGGCCATGCAGTGAGGGCTTTTGGGTGGGAACAGAGGGAGGGCACAGGGGTACGGGCTGGCATCACCCTGGAGTGCCTCATGGGGAGGGCAAGCTGCTGGGCTGGGCTGGCCGGGTAGGGGGCATGTGAGGCCACCTTCACTCCCACTCAGATAAAAGCCCTGGCAGGCCACCTGCCTGGCCCAGGGCACTGGGGAGGGAGGACAGGAAACAGGCAGTGGGTGGGGGTTCTCCCAGACTGTTTTGGGAGGAGTTGGGAGGAGGGGCTGGTGTGCCTGAGGGAAAGCCAGGCTCCAGCCCAGGGAGTTGATGACCTGGACCTCTTTCCTCTCGGAAGGATGAATTAGCAAGATGCCCTCCTCCTAATACCAAGCGGGGTGCAGTACCAAACAGAGAGCTTTGAGACTGGACTCCCGGCCTGGCTCACACTCGAAACAAAGCTAGGGCTTGGGGCAAATCCTCCAGGTCCCCCATGTCTCTGATGTTTAGGCAAAACACCCTCTTTCCCACTGTTGCCTCCACGTCATCCCCACTAGCAGAGGGTTTTCAGCTCTGGGTTTTCTAAACCCTGTGCTACCTCTACTCTCCAGCCTTGCTTGACGATGACTTTTTGGCTTCCAGAAAACACTGAAAGCTTGAAATCACTCCTTCGATATCCTCCCCTGGACCCTTGTCAGGATGAGGGTGTGTGCCCTGGCTGAGGGGCTGGGAATCCCTCTGCCTACATCTCTTCAGCCAGAGCTGGGAGAACCCCAGAGACACCAACTCAGGAGTCTGAAGGTCACCGTCTGGTTTCTCGGGCTCCCTGACTTGAAGATGTTATGATGTTCATAGTTTGCAGTTCTACACCAGTCCCATGACCCTTAAGTTCTAATATCTGTGGAAATATCTAGACTCTGCTCTTTTCCACCTCCACTGCCACCCCCTGGCCCAAGCACTGCCATCTCAAGGTGACGGGCAGTAGCTGCCCCAGGGTGATGGGCAGTAGCTGCCTCACTGATCTTCCAGATCTTGCCCAGAGACTGCTGGACAAGCAGTGGAGTGACGGGCAGTAGCTGCCTCACTGATCTTCCAGATCTTGCCCAGAGACTGCTGGACAAGCAGTGGACTGGGATTGTTTCAAAATGAAAACCGGGGCCTGTGCCACCCCTGCTCAGTGCTGACTACGCAGCACCGCCGGGCCAGTTCCTTTGCCTCTTTCCGAGACCTGGGTCCTTGACCTCACAGCCTCTGCACAGCAGTCGCATTGCTGGAAATGCTGCCCATGTGCCCCTCCCTGCCATTCCACTGCTGATTAATGCCTCTTTCCCCCCAGCTCCAGCCCCCTGCCCTGACCTCTCCCACCTCCAGCACAAGCCAGGATCCCGTTCCTTGCTCTCCCACCATACCGCACTTGTCTATCCAGCAGGAAGGGTCTGTAATACACGTTTGTCTTAGTGATTTTAAAAATTAAAAGCTGCCTTCTGCATTCAACAGAGAACCCAGGTGGGGCAGGGAGTGTCTGTTTACTCACTCACCTCCCTGGCCCTACACACAGAAGGGCCCAGAAAATACATCTGGGACATGAGTGAATGAGATGACCTCCTGCCTCAGGCCAGTGGGAGCCAGGGCCCTAAGGACTGTGACTCTAGCCACAGACTTGTGGCTCCATGTCCACAGTGGAGGTTTGGCCAAAGAGCTGAGCAGGGGCAGCCCTGGTTAAAGGGCCCCGAATGTTGCAAGGAGAGCTACAGGAAACGTGGTGGCCGGGGTCGGGGGCTCGGACTCGTGGGCCTGCGGTTGTGTGGACAGCTCTCCTTAGCGCCTCCCCTCTCCCAGAAACGGAGTGTGTGGGGGGAACAAGTGCCTCTCAGGCTACCACGGGATGGGGGGCAGCAGGGGCTCCTCTCTTAGTTGCTCTCTTTTGGCCACATGACTGCCCAGGCCCCTTTCCGGCCCAGACAGGTCGGCTCCCAGTGGCGAGCTCCTGGCCTCCAACTCCCCATTCCTGGCAGCCCTGGCCTCACCTCAGGAATTAAGCCCTGGCCCGCCCCGGCCCCAGGTCAGTGCTGTGCCTCAGAGGGAGGCAGCGCAGCCCCGGTCTACCCCTCCTGGCCCAGAGTCCGACTGCAAGTGGCCGGCCTGCTGCACTTCCCTGGGCTGTGAGGACGCCCACATCTGCACAGACCTCTGGCTTCTTTGGCCAGTCACTTCTGGCATTGAGTCCATGTGGCGAGGACTCAGATGCCACCCACCTGCCCGCCTGCCAGGGACGCACCATGGCTATTAACGGGCTGAGTGGTGGCTACAGAAGGGCTTTATTTCCAAATAAACAGGCGGAAGAACTGTTATTTCTGTCAATAATCACTGTGTTCTTCCCAGCAAGTTGGCAAGAAGGAGAAATCATACGCTGTTTATTTTTACAGGCTTAAAAAAAGTCCACCTTGGACTATTTTAAGTCACTTTAAACCTCTGTTTTCAATATTTTCACTGATTGGGCTTTGGAAGTTCTAGTTCTTTTCCCCTTCCACACCCTGCCCCCCGCATCCCCCCTTCCTGGCAAGGTGGGGGAGGGGATTTGAAGGGAATATGGAGCCGCTGGGGGGCGCTGAGCTGCTGGCTTCACCCCTCTATGCAGGAGGCTTTGGCATTCAGCTCTAAATCCCCGCCTTGAGGGCGTGTGGCTTCCTGGGGCTCCATAATCACCTCCAGCCTTTGCCTGGCCCAGTCCTTCTGTGGGCGGCTGGCCCCTTCCTCCCCCAACGCCTGTCTCTAGAGCTTGGCCAGCTCTCCTTTCCCCAAATCCCCTGCTTCTTGTTTCCTGAGGGGTCCACCACGCCCCCGGAGATGCTCAGTAACTCTGTGTGGGATGAATCAGAGAGCGAATGGGAAGAGAAACCTTTCCCTTCTCTCACCGCCAGCACCCGGCAGGCAGATCAGCCCGTTCCCTCCTTCCTTCAGCTGCAATCACTCTCAGATCCTCCCAACTCCTCATTTTCTAATGGCAAACACAAGTCCTCCTGTGTCTCTATGCCTTCAGCTGAGATCCCACCACAACTTTGCTCCTTCAGTGATAACAACAGTGTCCTTATATTTCCCCTGTATAAGTAGACCTGTGCTTCCCGAACGGCCCTGCGCCAGGCTGTCCCCACCGATTCTGTAAGGCCCACTACAACGAAAGTTTCAGTGGTTAGGAAATGCACCACACTCCACACCCTTGGGAAGCCACAACCAGTCACTGAAGGACCAGTACGTCCTACAGTGAAGACATTCGTTTAATTGTTTTTTTTTTTTTTAAAAGATGACCGGTAAGGGGATCTTAACCCTTGACTTGGTGTTGTCAGCACCACGATCACCCAGTGAGCAAACCAGCCATCCCTATATAGGATCCGAACCCGTGGCCTTGGTGTTATCAGCACCGCACTCTCCCGAGTGAGCCACGGGCCGGCCTCGTTTAATTGTTTAACCCGATGTGCAGAGGAATTATTTGACATAAGAACTTTTTGGCTCAAGAACCTACTGATGTGCTGTGCGAGAGCATTCTCCTGAACCCCCCTGGCTCTGGCTGATCCTCCCTCTTCCTGGCCTCTCCATCAGCAATGCAGGTGATGGCTGAGCACACACACCAAGTCCCCCATCCAGCCCAGCAGCTGGGCCCAGCTGTGCAAGTGCCTGGGGGCTCTTGGCCTCCACTCCTGCCTGCCTTTCGTTTGTGCCAGGTGAGCACAGGCAGGAACATGCCAACATGGCCCCATGAGCTGACCTTTGCATGTCTTCCCATCCGGCTGCAGTGTGAATCCAACCGGGCAGCTGCACCGCACGCCAGTGGCTGTGTCCTTGCATGTCCGGTCGCATCCTCCGTTATTTACTGCACATGTCTCTGAGGAGGAAAAGAGACAGACGCTCAGCCTCCTTGAGCAGAAGCCACCGCCTTTCTCTGTCCATGGGAGATCTCCTATGAGACAGAAGACCTGGGCTCAAGTTCCAGCTCTGACACCCTCTAGCTGTGGGGCCCTAGGGAAGCTGTACTGCCTCTCTGAGCCTCAGGCTCTCCATCTGTAAAATGGGAGAATGACACCATTCCCAAGGGGTCGCTAGTGAGGAGGAACAGCAATGGATAAAGGATGGGCAAACTGTCTGCAATTTGCAGAGGACCATGCTTGTAAAGGTTACTGCTAAAAAGGTCAATATCACTATTTGGGGCCAGCGCTGACACTGGTCTGGCTGCTATTTAACTGCCCAAGGCCTAATTCCTAAATCTTTGCCCTGCCTGGTCTCAGACTCCAAGTCTGAACTGGTGGTTACCAAGAGGCTACTGGGGCTCCCAAACTCCTATGTGTATAAAACGGCTTGTGGCCCTGGCCATAGTGTTGGAGGGGAGGCTCTCAGGGCCCGTACACCATGCATCACCTTGATGAGGCTCTCGGCCCAACATCTGTTCTCACTGAACGATAAGCCAGAGGCATCTGGTTTTTGTCCACTTGAAACTTGTCTAGTGCTTTTTTTTTTTCTTTTGCAAAATTCAAAGGGGCTGGAGTGGCTGGGGGCATAACTGAGGTCACTGAAGCTGATGTGTGCTGAGAGTGATCCTCCCCAGGCCTGGCAGGGCCAGCTCACCCACAGAGGAGCTGCTCTCCCGGACCTCTGATCCTTGCCAACTGGGTTTCCTCCTGAGCATGTGGTGGGCTTTTATCTTGTGGAAACTATGCTTGAGTGGCCTTCTCTCTTCTCTTTGCTGCTAGGAAGTAGAGGGACAACTGGTGTCCATCTTCCATAACCTGAATGCCCCTGCCTGCCTTGACTGTGGTTTCACCTGGGTGCCTGGCCCTGATGACACTTCTCCATGAAGGTCCTCCTGAATCAATTTATTCTGTTAGTGTCTGTGATGTCTGCATTTCTGCAAGCTGCCTTCAGTTCTCTCTGGGAGTAGTTTGGGAATGAACGTAGTGAATGAATAAATGAATATATACTTTCAGTTGCCAGGAGTCTGTGCTGGTAATTAGATCAAATTCACAGTGCCTTTCCTCTGAACTTCACCTTAGAGGGGGGTTACAGGGGGATAAGGAGACCCGACATTCCTCCTGTCTGCGTGTGTGTGTGCGTGTGCACTCCAGTGTGCATCTGCGATTCTGCAGGGCTGCAGTGCTGGGTGTCATCCTGCCACAGGGGCCCACCCACCCTCCTTCTTATGGCTAATGTCTTCACCATCACAGGGTGAGATGTAGTTACCACTGAGAGGCGTCTCCTTGACTGTGACACTTCCTGGCCTGTCTTTCAGTATGTCTGCATGAATTCTGGCCCCCCCCCAGCTGGTTATAGACGGCTTGTATGAGTCAACAGCGTACCTTCCCGCATGCCTGCCTTTGCAGTGTGCTGGTCCAGTGGCTAGGAGGCCTCCTGCCTACTCACCCTTCAAGGCCCAGCTGAAGGACCACCTCACAAGGATCCTCCCTGAAGCCCCAGACACAGAAAGAAGGCCACTGCCCTTCCCTGTACTTGTGCAGGTTGGCCCCTACATCAGTGCTGGCCAACTTCTGACTGGCGCTTGGCCTGCTCATGCCCTCTAGGCTCTCTACTGGACCATCTACTGGGGCAGAGGAGGTGGGCAGGCCAAGGCATAAATCCTGGCTCTGTCGCTCACTGAGTGACGCAGGCAGGCCACCCCTTGGGGCTGGACCTCAATACCCACACCTGGGAAATGAGGACAACAAGCCTTCCCTCCCAGGGCGGAGGTGAGGATCAAATAAAGTCCCCACTGAAAAGCACCTGGCCTGGGGCGTGGCACAGAGTACTTGCTCAACAAATGCAGCGTCCCCTCCTGGGCTGACAATCAGAGAGAGAAATCCTGCCTCCCACCCCAAAATCAAAGAGCTGACCTACTCTGCCGAGTGCCTTTTATGTGGGACAGCCCCTCTCTGGAGAGGGGGGCAGAGAATGTGCCTGTTTTCCAGGTGCAGGCAATTGAGGCTCGGGCCTTGGAGAGATGGGGAACACTAGAAGGGGGCAAGGGGAATAGTGAGTGCCAAGAGCTTGGGCTGAGACACTGGGCCTCTCCGCGGTGGTGGAGGTGGGGTCGGATGCAGGCACTGGGGCTATGTCCCTGAGAAATGACCCATCCAAACACGCTCCCAGGATCTTGTGGGTCCTTTCCTTTCTGAGAGGCACCAATGGGACGTGGAATCTCGACTTTCAAGAAACAAGGGAACCGTGGGGATCTGCTGGCCTCACCTGCCCACTGGGCAGACAGAGACTGAGAGAGAGGGCTGGGGCTGAGCAGCATGGTCACCTGTTCTCTGAATCCCCACTGCACTCTCTCCTGCAGTGGACAGTTTCAGTTTCCTTGTGTTGCCGCAGCCAATGGCTGGCACCTAAACTTCAGGCTCTGAGTGAGGGGCTCTGAGGCCTTATGGACTGTTCTTGGGTGCTGGGCACCCCACTCCATCCCACAGTGCCTTGTCATGATGGCCACCACACACCAGGTCCAACCCTGACTCCCAGCTCCAGTGCCCTCCATTTCCCTAACGAGGAACGGGTGCAGAGCATTGGGGATCATGCCTAAGGCTGTGCAGACTAAGTGGCAGAACTGACCCCACTCCATCCCACAGTGCCTTGTCATGATGGCCACCACACACCAGGTCCAACCCTGACTCCCAGCTCCAGTGCCCTCCATTTCCCTAAAGAGGAACGGGTGCAGAGCATTGGGGATCATGCCTAAGGCTGTGCAGACTAAGTGGCAGAACTGGATGGGACCCACTAGGTCTGTCTCTGACCTCCATGGCTCCTTGAGGCCAGTGGCCCACCTGACAGTCTTAAATCTCTGCCACCAGCCAGACCCAGCTCCAGGGCCTGCATAACAAAGCACATGCCCACTGGCAACTTGTACTCAACCCTCTGCCTTCCTTCCTGACTAGCTCCTCCTCCAGCATTCCCTGCCTCCATGAATGCTGCCCTGATCAGCCCTAGTGACTCCTAGGAGCCCCCTCCCCCACCTCACCTAGGGTCCAGAGCCCGGTCTTGCTGCTTAACATCTCCTGACTATCACCCCTGCTCTTCCTGCTGCCATTCTGGGCCAGGCCACCACTGTCTTCCTATGTGACCATGACAGCCTCCAAATGGTCCCTCCTCCAGATTGCTGCCTTACCGTGAGTAGCTAGAGAACTGTGCCACGTCTGCCCCTCATGTCTTCGGGCTCATGTGATAATGCTTGGAGACATCATTCCCCAAGGGCCTTCTCTGTGCCAGGCCTTGCATTGGGTGGGGGCGGGGTGAGTGGAGGGAGCAACTGGCAGTCAGCCTGTCCTTACCTCTGCCCTGGCTGCTGGGCCTCCAGCCCCACCTCTACAACACGGGGATGTAGCTTCTGCAGTGCCCATCTTATCTGTATTGTTCTGAGGTTAACAGATGTACAATGTAAAATGTAACACATATGCAAAGAGCAGTGGCAAAATCCACCTACATCCTTTGGGCTAAATGGGGGTTGAGGCCTAAAGTCTACAATTAATTATAGCGCATGCTGGCCTGGGTGGGATTGAGCACCTACTCCCTACAAGTTTCCAAGCAGATGCTCCTGGGTGCTACTGAGGAGGCCTTTTGCCTTTGATGGCGATCAGCCTGGGGTACCACCACAACCCTCATCTCTTGAGTCACTCATAAAAGCAGCATCACCTCTGTCCCCCAAGACCAGAGGTCACCCAGATCTGGTATTAGGCCAATGCTGTCTCAGAGAGAGATTCAGAAAACACACGGCCCTGTCCTCTCCCTATAGCAGGCAGTCTTAACTACAGAGTCACCCCAAATGCAAGCAGCAAATGTTAGCTGGGGACGGCAGCAGCAGCATCTCTGGCCTGTGGGGAGGTGGGGTGAGTGGGCTCCCATCCCCATCCCAGCCCCCGCCCCCACCGAGGGGCCAAGGAGAAGCTGGTGCTTGAGGGGAGCAGCGGTTCTGCAGGCTTGCCTTGTGAAGCCACACCCCATCCAGAAACACGCACGGGGACGTGCAGCTAGAGTCTACCACCAGAAACTTCAGGTGACTGGGACTGTGAAGGGGAAGAGGGCAGAATTAAACCTCAAAGAGTTTTTGTCCCAGGGATCTGCCCTGCAGACTTTCTCTCCCTGTACCCAGGCTCCAGATGACAGCTACTGGGCTCTTTCTAAAGGCCTTCGCTCTCCACCTGAAGAAAACCTCCCGCAGCACGGCCCTTTATGGTTGACAAAGCACCTTCTCATCACTAACCTCAACAAGCCTCACAGCAGCCTCATAAGCGGGGCACTTCTGTAGGTGAGGAACTGAGGCCCAGAGAAGTGAAGTAACTTGTCAATGCAGGACTGGCCACATAATTTATGGGACCCAGTGCAAAATAAAAACGAAGAGCCCTTGTTCAAAAATTGTTAAGAATTTCAAGGCAGAGATGCAGAGTATTAAACCAATGGTGGGCCCTCTTAAGGGCAGGGTCCTGGGAAACTACACAGGTTGCACACCTCGGAAGCTGTTCCTGTGTCCAGGTCACACAACTATTGGGAGGAGCTACTATTTGAGCCCAGGATTGTGAGACTCTAGGCTGGTGAGTGAGCTGGACCAGTCCAGAGAACTGGGGCTTTGACAGGGGCCCCTCAGGGTGGCTCACAGAAAGGCAGGAGGATACCTGCACCCATGGTGACCTGGCTTCCCCGGCCAGCCAGTGGAGAGAACTATTACCCTACAGGGCTTGGGTAACAAAGGGGAAGCCTCGCATGGGGCTGACTGGGGCTCTAAAGTGTGAAGAGAAAAATCCCAAACAAGTTAAAGGCACAGTCTTTGGTCTTTCTGGGTGGGCGAGGAGCTCCTGCTTTGGGCCAGGCCCTGTGTGCAGCCTGGCCAGGGCTGTGACAGAGGGAAGCAGT